GCAAATAAAAATTATTTTGCTAATCAATTAATCTGCCGATTATTCTTTCGATTGACTGATCAGATGGGGAAATGTTCCTAAAAGAAGATTTTACACAGATGTCAGGCCTTCCTAATCACTATCACCTGGTAAACATTGTATTCCCTGTGCAGCATGGAGATGGAAGCATCATGATGAGAGGAGGTTTTTGTGAGGCAGAACTGGGGACTAGTGCAGCAGACAGGAGGATATGAGGGTGGGACTAGATCTGGAGTCTGTTCAGAGTTCTTTGCATCTCAGACCGAGCAAACAATTCATTTTAATACACAACATTGACTTGAGCACACAGAAGTTGCTTCAGGAGGGGTCTACGAATCTTCTTCAGTGGCCTGGGTTAAAAACTAAGAGTGGAAAACTTGTTAGAAACTTCTTAAAGCAGACTTTATCACTATTATAGTTAAGAAAAAGCTATGAAGTCTTCAGTGCATGCGGTTTTACCTCTGCAAGGTTATTTTTTTAGGAGAGTTTGTGTTTGTCAGACTAACTTTAAAGGTAATGAATGGATTATAATGATCTTTTATATTAGATTAAATTTTGGTGATGATCCAGATCATAATCTGGAAACAGGATTTTAAAAACAAATTCTTTAACATTATAAAATATGGAAATTTGACGGATCAAGCAGTTCCCCACTAAACCAGAGGGTGGCAGCAGTGACTATTGGCTGTTCACTGTTGGTTTGTTAGCACGATCAGTTGAAAAATTATGAACAGATTAATGGAAATTTTTTTACCAGAGGTTTACCTCATGCCAAGCAATACATTTAAATGATCCAGATCATGTGCAAGTTTTAGCATCATAAGTCACAATTTGGGGCAAATTTTGCAGCTTGGTGGAGGTCTGCACTCTCTTAGTGCTTTTCTAGTTGGTTTTGTTTTTAACTATTACTATAATTGACAAACATTTTAAAAAATTTTAAGTTTGTGATTTTGGGATATTATGTGTGGAACATTGAGGAAAAAAATAATTTTATCCACTTTTGAAGAAGGCTGTTCCATAACACTTTGTCCTACTTTTAGTATACGATCAGCCTGAAGCTATCTTGATCAGAAAAACAATACAGGACTGTAATCTTTGAAGTATAACACCATTTAGATTGAGTTCACTCACCTTCTCTAGGTTATCCACCCTAGATAGCAGTTTTGTGGTCACAGAGTTAAGCTTTAACAAATCCATTCCATATAGAGAGCCTTCTAATAAGTCAATGATGGTTGCCAGCTTGGAAAAGACAAACACAAAAATAAATGTCATAAGATTAATGAAGAACATCCTTACTCATAACCCAGGGCTACTGGTGTGAGATAAAAAAGATTCTATCAAAAACAACATCACTCTATATCAATGTTTGCCACACCAAGCATGAAGGTGCTACCAGTGTGTTTCTACCTTTATGTCGTCTTTGCTTGCTTCCTGTAACTTTTTAAACCTGTACTCTCCCTCGCAGGGGTTAACGGCCGAAGGAGGAGCCATGCACACACACTTCTTACAGTCTGTTCCCTTGGTGATTGTTTCCACGGTGTAAAAGTCCTGGGAGAGTGATGCTGGATCTTTGTCACGAAGGCTGCTACAATCAGAGCGTTTGATTGGTCGGACTACACATCGGCACACACAGTCGGACCCAGACGACTCTGTTTTAACTTTGTCATAGTCTCCAAGCAGCTGAAAAGAGGGAAAACATTTTTTTTTTAAATACCCGTCAGTTTGTGAAGCAGAATAATAGAGATTATAACCTTAAAAATAAAAAAGTAAACTGCAGAACTATCAGTGCTTTACAGCTGCTGCAGCGATGAGCCTCTTCTGAAATGAAAGCTAGAGCAATTCACAAAAAAAGCAGGTTTTCTTGGTTTGGAGCTCTTGCAGCTGGAAAGATGTTACATAACCGGCTGCCAGATGGATGCAAACTGCTACCATAATGTGGGCCGATGGACAAACTCACAAACATTGGTGTTTCCAGTCATTTAAACTAAGGTTTGGATTTGTTTAAAAGAAATAATAATTAAGTTCTGACCTCCTTTTTAAGTAATAAGTGATGAGACTAAAGAAACCTCCTAATCCTGAAATGGGAAAAACTAAAGCATGTGTTCTGTGGGAAAAAAAAAGAAAAGCTTTGCTATAAGATTGATGGATTAAATGATGCCTCATGCAGAAAGGAAAGTAAAACATTTATTTGCTCTAACTTTATAGACATGTGATATGAAGAAACATATCTTAAAAGTATGTTATAATTACGTTTTCCCTTGAATCTTGGTGTAGACTTTGACTAAAGGATTCTAACACATAATTATGTTTCTATCTAAACAAAAGGAATCAAACTCCAGTCCTGCAACCATAAGCTGTGACTGGTCTTCAACACACCTCAATGATATAGTGAATTTGCTATAACTTTCTTGCATGTCTAGATTTGCGGGACAACTGCTCCAGGACTGTTGTTTGACACCCCTGATCTTACCCACACCACTGCTGCTTTGGCTGCACATCTGGGCTTATTTTCCTGCCGGAAGATGAACTTCCACCCAAGTTTCAAGTCTTTTGCAACCCTCTTATGGGCTGTTTCCCTGCTGCATGAAAGAGCACATCCACACTATGGTGCTTTCACCATCAGATATCACTGCAGGATTTTTGGGGTAATGTGCCTAATTTGTTAATTTGAATGAAGACCAAGCTCACAGTATTTGTCTCCTCAAAAATACCTTTTTCCACATGGTCTCAGTTTTCTCTATGATGCATGTAGCAGACTTAAAACAACCCCATAGAGACCCAATATACTAGAATGTATAACTCATAGTTAGTCTTTTAACAAGTTCTTCCATCTGAGCTGTGAACCTTTTCAACTCCTCAAGAGATATCATGGGTCTTTTGGCAGCTTCACTGATTATTGCTCTCCTTGCCAATAAGCCTATTAGGAGGTTGAGGTCTGCAGAGCAAACATGTTTTTTTCAATTTTGCATGATGAAACTAAGCTCTGTGTGATATGAAATGCAAAACCTATAAATATTTTTTAATCCTGTTATCCAAACCCAACTTTATCCTCAACATCTTTGGCATAATCCTTGGTCTATATAATGCTGTGTCCCCCCATAGGGATGGGGGGTAAGTCAAAGGAGCTGAATATAAACATTATATAATATAGTATATATTGTAGAAAAATACATTTTTTTTTTATAATTCAGTTGATATTTCACATAAAAATCCCCAAAAAATGCATCAAAGTTTGGAGTGATAATGTTTCAAACTATTAGAGGTGCATTAAAATTGTTGTAATAAATCGTTTGTGTTTGAATTGAAATGAAGAAAAAAAGGTTTGTTGGATAATATCTGCGTAAAAGAAACTAACCTGGCTTATTATATTCTCCTGGTTGTCCAGCTCTTCCTCCAGAGGCTCACTGGTGGGCTGCAAACTCTCAGCTGGAGCGACTCTCCCATCTCTGTCCTCAGTCCTTCCAGGAGAAGAGGCCCCTCTGTCCGGCGTCCTGGGACCGGAGGGGTCCAGACCATCCAGTCCGCGTCCAGCGCAGCAAAAAACCACCAGGGTCATTATGCGCCACATCCTCCACATAAAAACACTAAATGTTTACAGGTAATTATTAGTGGCACTTATCTGATAGAAATTGATTATTATATAAATAGAAACGCATCCGGGAAGTTTATCAGGAAAACAGTTTGATTTCCAAAAAGCTTAAAAGTATAGTTTAGATTAATTTGAAACGGTCTACTGTTAATAAACCGTATTAAAGCTACGAAAACACAAAGTTGAGAGAAACATATAATAAAAAAAGGAATTTGGGTGTAATATATATAAAAAAGAAACTAAATCAGATTTTTTTCCCTTTTCTTTTGGCTTTCCCTCTGTGAAATGAGGAGCCTGGTGGGTCCATACGGTCCGGACTGAGTCTGAAGGACGAACCAGGTTTGCTCACATCAAACGCTGTAAATACTGCCAGCCAATCAAAACAGGCCTCTCATTACCGAGGAAAAAACAGACCCTCTGATTGGTCAAAGGCGAGGAGGTATGACTAATAAATTCACATACTTATATATAAAAAATAGCATTCTTTTTTAATAAATAGATTATTCACACATACTACTACAATAAATACATAAATAGTTTGAAATATATAAAATAAAATCATAAAAGATGCAGTGCAAACAAAATGTTTACACAGAAAGAACTGGATCTTAGTAATAACTGAGGTTTTATGTTTTTTCTCGTTCTATGTGACCCACAACTGTTTATGAGGAAATTTAAAAAACAAAAAAATAAAACAATATAATATTATGATTAGTGAACACAATTACTTCTAAACTGTTACTGTGTTCCTTATCATCCACCACATTCAAACTTCAACAAGTAGTCAGTAGACCTATCACTTAAAATGCCCCCAATTAACCCAAAATAAAGTTCAGATGTTGTTGAACTTTTTTTTTTTTTTTTGCAATATACAGACAGTTATGTACACACACACACACCCACAATGCAACCATTTTTGGCATTTACTTAATCATATTTAGTTACCTAAACACATTTTTCTCGTGTTAGGAGGGTAAGACATAAAACAGGTGTGTTAAAGTAACTAAATTAAGTATTTTTATCTTTTTCAGTGCACATACTTTTGTCATACTGCAACATCACACACTAAAGAGCAAACAAGAGTTAAAGGGAAAAATAATCTGATATATTAGAAATTAACCTGATCAAACCAAAAAGCTTCTAAACTAAACTTTGATCTTTATTTTTTCTGCAGCTGTGACACTATTTCACTATTCCTTATTACATCTAAGGTTTGTCATAATAAGACATTTATTTCAAACAAGTCCATTCACCAGCAGGTGGCCCTGCAAGGATAGCTGTGACATTTAAGTTTGATGCCCTGTTGACATAATTTACCTCACACCCCGCCCAACTACACCCCCCCCCACACACACACACACAGACAGAAGAGAGGAAATGAGCTGTGCTCAAAACTTCTTGCCACTTAGAGCAAATCACTCAGTTGACATGTGCTCCTGTGCACTCTGCTCATCTATATTCAGTTAATGCAGCTCCTGTAGACAAGATAATAAAGCATACAGCATGGGAGCATCTTCCTCTGGATTACTAGATGAGGCCAAAATCAACCACATCAAAGGTAACTAAGATCATTTTCTTCCTATTTTAAATTTTTTTTTAGGTGTTTACAACTTCTTGACTGGCTCCGACGCTGCGCATGCGACTTACCTTCTGGGAGAAATAGCAGCTGAGCAAATAGGAGAGATGATAAACAGAAAGCAGAGAAATGAGTGCTGCAGGGATGAACTTTGTTATACTTAAGAGGTGGTTGCAGAAGAGAGAGAGCTACGCTTTTTGTCAGCAAATAATTGTAAAAACAGCAAAAGTAATATAACATAAAATATTTAAAAGATATTTTTTATTTTGAAAACATGTTTTTTTTTTACTTTTATCTTCACAGTTTTATTTATTTCATTTTATAGATATGAAATGAAATATTTAATAAGCAACCCAAGTCCAATTGTGCTCCTTAAAGCCACTTAATATCAACTCTCAGTAGTTCTGGAGCATAAAGAATTCCCCCAGAGTGACGGCTTGGTGAGATCATAAGAGAAAGTTTTACTACTTTTGACTTTAGTGGAAAACTTTTAGCGAAGAGGCACACAGGAAATGTGGGGAGGGGTGTGACATGTCAGCAAAGGTACCCAGAATTACACCAAGGCCACTGCTGTTGCATTGCCCCCGCTTTAACCACCAATATGACTTTAGTTTGATGTTATCTAAAAGCAGAGAGAATCGACTAAAAATGGAAACAGATTATTAATGATTTTTTTTTTACCTTTAAATCCAACATGTTCTTTTAATGGGAAAGCTTTTGTCCATTTCTCCATGTGTGCATTCCTATACGGGTTATCAGCTCAGACACATCCTGTCACTAATCTTCCCTGCGAAGTAGAATGTAATTACAGCTATTTCCAACTATTATATTATTATGGGTTGTCTGATCTTTGTCTGTGTATTCTTGTGTTTGGGTCAGTTTGTAAGATGAAAGTTGGACTGACCCAAAGATCAGTCACAGAGTGGGTGGAATTTAAACAAGAGATCATGACAAATCTACCCTCAAACAAATCATTAGAGCACGGACAAGAGATCTGACACATTGTTCCTACCAAGATCAATAAAGGGGATTGGATTCCAATAACTACTATCAAGACTCACTTTAATTGGGAAGACGAGGAAAAGATTAATCTTATATCAATAAAAACAAAGCAAAGAAATGCCTAGTAAACAAGCCATGGCAGGCTTCAGAAGGCAGCCATTATATGAACTTTAGGGAATCAAACAAAGTAAATTAATGGTGTAGCTGTCAGATGAAATAAAAAGACATTACTGGAAGTTCAATTATAGTTTTTTTTTTCAGTTTAAAAGGCTAATTTGTAATTGAATAAACAAATTTATAGTAGGTGTGTCTGATTTTTGAAAAGTCTGCGTTAGGCGAATGAATCAAAAATAAATTGAATTAAAAGTTACTTCATTCATTCAAAGAGGAATTGAAATGTTGCTCATATTTAAGGGTTTTCTTAAATTAGTTGTTTCGATGCTAATGGTTGAAGGCAGGAATAATTTGGAGATTCTTGTTGTACAACAGTCTTTTGGAGAAGAAATACAGGGATGTCCATTATGGTAGCTATTTTATGAAAAATTAAATAGTTTCTAAAATACTCCAGCAGAGATAAAAAAAAACAATAAAGCAGAGTTTCTAGAGGTGTTTGCAGAACAGATCAGCATGTTGAGCTTATTTAAGGAGATCACTCTCTCCACAGTAGACTTATAGAAGATATGAGGAGGATGCTCAGGGCTGTCCATAGTGTTATTCCTTTTATCAAGAATTCTACTTGATAAAATCAAAGATGGAGAAGATTTAGTATCTTTTCAATTAGGAAAATATTTAAAAATTGATTTTCTAATCATCCTGTTCCCTTCATGTTAACAAGCATCAGGAAGTAATAATTCTAAGATGAATGTTGGTTGGTTTAAATTATGAAGCTGTGAACAGAGTCCTATCATTTATAATGGGAATCAGTTCAGAAATTTAATGTAGGTCTACCCCGAAGCCCAGGTTTTGGAAGATGCCTTTTCACTTTATGCACACTAGATTTGCTGTAGTGTTGCATCAGTGCAGATTTCTAATTATATGCCGATGTTGCAGCTTTTATCTGTTGCTGGAAGGACATTGTGTCTATTTCAATATAGCTGTGTCTCTATTTGGAGTTTATTGAAGCATTGTAAAAAGGAAAATGATATCAATAAAGGGTTGTTTTCCTCACCAAGGATGAGAACATTGACTGACAGTAATAATATAAAAAAGAAAGATGATAAAACAATTTTTACGTAATTTTTAAGTAAAACGTAAAAGCAATCAACTTTGATTAATCAGTGACTAACTCAGCTGAAAATAACTGAACGCACTCAAGCATTCCCACCAAAGTGTCATTTATTTTTTCAAACACAGCACCAGTATCTCAGACAGGAAGTTCATCAGATTACATCGCTGTCATGTGTTTATGTATCTGCATATCGTGAACTCTGAAATATTCCTGAAATTCCTTCATTTTAAACTTACTTATAAATGCTTCTTTGATGCTTGTAGATCTTCAGGTTATTTTCAATCAATATATTTGGCTTCACTTTTTTCTCATTGATGTTTTGTTGCTCTTTAAACATAAAATAATAAAATCCTTCAACATTATCATTTTAATCTTATGGTCTCACGACCCTTTTCTTGTTAATGCACGATCAGAGCAGTGAACATATATTTCTGAATGATTGCCATCTTTCTCTGCTTTATGTAAAGCTATTTTGTTTTATTGTTAATTACATAGTTGCTTTCGACATTCTTTACATCGTTAATACATTTATGCAAAAGAAGCTCAACTAGGTACAGGAATAGTTAACATGCTCATAGCTATCGAATCTAAGAGGTTTTTAAATTTTAAAAATTTGGCCCTGAACAGATAAGCTTGTAATTAACTTAATAAATATGTTGGGCTTCTTTTTTTTGTAGCATACACGAAGCTTCATTTTAGGGCAACTGATTTAGGTCATTTTACCTGTAGTTGGTTAACACTTGATTAAACAGGTCGAACAGGCTTAAACCTTGCGTGACATATTTTGTTAAGGAGCACATCCTTCAGACCATCATGTTTGTTTTTCCCTGCAGTTTGGATGTTCATCTTCCAGAGGTTAGATTCTTGAATTAACTGAAAAGTAGGAAAATAACATCTACTGGTAAAACTGTAAAATGCCACTAAATAAATACCTACCAGCTCCGATGTGTGACGAAGGTATAATGAAGTAATCAGTGTGCAGCTAATGGGATGGCTCACCAGAATAAAAAATGTGATCCTGAAGACTAAAAAAACTTTTTGATTTTTTAAAATGATTGCCCAAAAAGCCAAAATGTTGGAATTGACTAAATAAAAGGTATAAAGTTGCATCAGTTAGTATTTTTAAGTAGTCCCATCTTGGTCATTAAGAAGGTTTAAAGGTAGAACTGTCATGGAAGGATAAATGTGCTAAGGTTGAATCCGAGAAACTCACACGAAGAGAAAAGACAATTAGGAGAAATTTATTGATACAATTACTTTGTCTTTGGCGCTCAGAACTCGGCAGTAAACATAGAGCTTAATTTTGATAGATATGCATGAACAGGAGCAAAGAATAGGGCTGTTTCCCCCAGGGCCTGAAACTGGTGGTGGAGTGGAGATAGATGAAGTTGGTCAGTCTGTAGACTGCTGCTTAGAGATGGTATGCTGAGCTTTATGGGGAGATCCAGTGGACTGGGTGAGCTGATACAAGAGCTTCATTCAGGGACCTGGAAGATGGAAATCCAGCTTGGATAACACAGGCTGAGAGAACCGTCCATGATGAGCAAGCATGAAGTGACAGTGGAGAGGAAAAACTCCCGTTGGGAAGAAACCTCTGGCAGAACCAGGCTCAACATGGCGGTCTTCTGCCAGATCGGTTGAGATGAAAAGCAGTAGGAGTCCGGGAGGAATGACTCTCTAATGAAGCTTTAGCTATGATGGTGGAGAAGGGGCTGGAGGTGGGTTGAAATGATGTCATCTGAATGAAGTCACAGCGCATCCGCCGCCTGCGCACAGGAGCAGACAAGTACAGACAGGAGGCCTTTTAAGATGAACTTTGGATGCCGATTGGCTTTGGTGGAGGCATTGTTCAAAGCTGATTGTCTGTGTCGCAGGTGGATGAAGGAAAGCAATCAGTTTCTTCAGTCGAACTTCCGCCTAGGCTCCATAGAATACATGCATCAGGGCACCCGTTATAATAAATTATTGAGAGACAAAAATGCAAGAAAATATCTTTAATCATTAAAAAATTTTTACATTTCTCAAAATGTGTAAAATAAATGTGCAAAATATCTGATTATCTTGAGAGCCCATTTTCAGCCTTTCTATCAATTATTTTCTGTTTTATAGAATCTGACCAGAACTGAGTCTCCTTATTTGTTTGCAGGGCTCGTTGACAGCACCTTTCAGAGCTTCAGTGGGATTTACAGGCAGCAGTACTCTGTATCCTACCTTGGACACATCCACCAGGAGGTGGAGCCTAAAAAGGAGGGGAGAGGCTTTTTGCTCACACAAAGGGTAAGAGTTGAGACTATCTACATATCCAATCAGTACATTTTAGCTTCACACTTACTGCCCTATGTTTGTTCCTCTGTCCATTCTATGAACTTTTTATGTTTTATAAGTAGTTGAAAAGTTCCTGTTTCTTTGTGTTTCTGTGAAGCCAAAAACTGATGGAGATGAGGTGCTGTACCAGGGAGGTGTTAAATTCTCCTGCTGGGATGAGCAGGGAAAGAAATGTAGAGAGAGATATGCTGTCCTAAAGAGAGACTATAAAGTGGAAATACATGATAGCATGGAGGTAAAAGAAACAAAAACAACATTAGATAAATATTTTTTCTTATTTGCATTAAATATGATTACAGTGTTTTGCTTCGTGTTGTTATTATCTAGACTTTTAGTCGTGGATCTGCTCCTAAACTGGTCCTGCAGCCAGCAGGAGGAGTTGTGTTCACCACTGAGGAGGAGTCGAGAGAATACCTGGAGAAAGCCTGTGCTGGTTTACTCAACGGTACGAAATCAAACTTTATCTTACAGTTAGCTTCTGCCAAATCACCACAAATTGCTAATGAAAAAGCAAGATATAAGTATAATGGAAGTCATAAATTACTACAATGTAAAATAAATAAGATACAATACATTATTTTCACATTCTAGGCTAGTAAAACCAGAAAATATATATATATATATATTAATATATAAAATGTAGACAGATCAGCTTCAATTCTGAATTAAGATGTAAGGAAATAAATTTGTAGGATTATGCAAAGTTAACTTGATTTAGATTTATACAAACTTTATTGTAATTTCGATGCATACAGCTTTTCAACAGGGAATTACTAGCTTACTGCAGTGAAATGAACATTACCATTTATGAAGTGCAGCATTGATCAGAATATAAACAGAGAAAAAAAAAATGTGCAAATAAATAAATATGATGCAAAATGCAGTAGAACATTGAGTTGTGCCCTATTTAAAGTGATTAGGAAAAAAGTCAGCCATGTTTGTAGTGCAGATATGATGTGTACAAGTGTGATGGAGAGTCTTGATTAGTTTAAACAGTTCAACAGTCTGATGGCATCGGGCTGCTGCAGAACCTGCTGGACCTGCAGCGAGCGATACTCGGATGCATCGGTTAACTGACGTCAGATCAGAAAAATGCATGCCACATTAGAAAATAACACATGAAATTCACTATAGTAAAAAATAGAAATATTGACTTTTCCAACTCAGATGAAAGCAATCATAAAAGCTGTGCAGAGATCCATACTTAGATATGTGTAAGTTTGAAACAGATTCTAGAAATTCTGTTCTGCTCAGATGCGTCGGTGGCGGTAAACTTCATAGACGATGACCTTTAGGAAAAACCAAGACCTCACTTTCTTTTTTAGTCTGTTAGTTAAAACCCGCTTCCATAAGATGGTAAAACTCTATAGGAATCATTACATAAGAACAGTTCCCGAAAACAGCAACGACTAAAGTCAGATTCTGTTAATACACAAGAAGAAAGAGCATTGCTTTAGATTGGTCTAGGTGTTTAAAGCACTGAGCACATTAAATTAGAGGGGGAAATATAAAACAAATCTTGAAATGTTTACCCTTATTTATCGTCGCTGAATACTAAAGCTTCAAGTTTGGCACCACAATCTTCTTCATCTTGTTCCCTTTTCAAAGAGGAAGTTATGGTGGACAAAACGCTGGTCCACATGTTGGTTTCTTGTAAACCATGAAGCAGTTACTTTCAAAACCACACACTCACTTGTTCTTTATTTGAGACAACTGATAAGATGGAAACAATAGTATGTTTTAGAGGTTAAACAAGAGTGATTAATATCATTCATGTATAAATCTTTTAAAGGTAGAAATAAAGTGAGTCCCTTTTCTCCACAGGCTCTTTTTATAGAAATGCCAATTAAATTAAAATCTAGCATAGATTAAATATAAACAGTTTTGCTGTTCATATGGTAATGTCAATTAAATCTGAAAATAATTTTTCAATTTCAGATTCAACATCAGACATAACTATTTTCAGTCCCTCTTGAAATAATTCATTGATAATTACCCTTAGCAAAAAGTGGTTTAATTAAGTATACTAAAAGTGCACTAATTTCATACTTAAATCAGGCAGTGCACTTAGAGTTTATTTATTCTAAACTATATTTCATATACTTAACAATAGTATAGTCAAGTGTACTTGACTATACTATTGTTCACTGTATTGTTTACTAAAGTATACTTTAGTAAACTTAAAAATGTCCCAATTTAGTTCGAAGAAGTATTACTTTAGTAATACTTCAAGTACACTAAAAGTACATTGTTCGGTATACTTTCTAAACTTATACTTAAGTATTCTTAATAGAATTTACTTCAAGTATACTACTTTTTGCTATGGGTAAAACAAACTGTTATGATAAATGAAAGATTTTCTTATTTTAAACATGAATTTTTTTTTTTGTTTTTTTTTTCCCTTCCAGGAGTGAAAGAGGGTTCTTCTTCTTCAGCTGCATCATCTTCAGATGTGTTTGCTGTATATCTCCATCTACCTTACGCAGGTCACACCTGCTTCCTGTTTCAACAAGAAGATGAGAGAAATCACTTCCTCTCTGGCCTCAAGGCCTGTATTAGACACCGAAACCTTGGTAAAGCACTAACATGCAACTCAAATTAGCAATCAGTATGCAGCTGATGGTATGCAGACGTGGAGATAAAAAAACAACATTAGAGAAAAAACAAAAATCTGTTTTAGAGACCGCGCTCAGCAGTTCTGCGGCTAAATACATAGTTTTCGACATAAAGACCAAATTATTCATATCGCATGAACTTTTTCCAAATTATTCCATGTTGCAACAAAGCTCTACACATTTATTGTGACTTTATGTCATAAGCCAACATATGGTTTTCTTTAAGAAGATTACTCTAAACAGCCAGAGCTATATTAACCTGGTTAATATCAAAGCACATATATGTGTGTCTAAAGCTGCTTTTAACCCTTTCCTCATCTCGTTTAGGTGTGCATTTATATGCCTGAAAACCAAACTGATATTTCCTTGTTTGTGGGCAAAAATTTGGTCATTAAAGTTGATTATGATTTTGAAGGTGAGCTAGTTAAAGTCAACATCTAAATCCACTTCAGGATCTGCTTTGCGATGGATAGAAAGAAATCTCACAGAGGCTCTCAGTTTCTCCAATCCTGAACTCACTGGCAGAGAAGAATGAGAATTCTTGCCAAGCAGCTTTTTCTTACATCACTGGCATTTTTCTTTTTTTCAAAATAAGAACATTTGATCATATTTAAGAATATTTGACCTATTTGAAGCAGCACATTGTTAGCAGTGCATGCTTCACTGAAAGGGGATTTTGCGGGGATTTTATTTGTGAAGAAGTAATAATTTGCAATAATTTGGATCATTTTAATTCCACATCTGATAAGCTTCTTTGTACTGATCTATTACAACAAAGTCTGTTAAAATACCTTTAGTTAAATGATCAGAGGCAGGAAAAGGTCAGGTAGTGTAAATAATTTTACTCATGTTTATGTAGTATATTCATATTTCACACCTTCTCTAATATCTCTGCATCCTTTAAAGCTCGGTTAGGGCTTCATTTGTCAGAGCTCTATCTCCAGATATGATAACTATAATTTATTTTCTTTTACTTAGATAATAGAAAATTATAGAAAATTATTAATAGTTGGAACCTTTTTTGAAACATATTTTTCATTTTCTAAAATTCTTTTATAGGCACTGCAGCCCCTTTTTGGGAAGTATTTTATCTGTTGAAGAGTAGAAATATAGATGTGTTTCGAGAGCTTGGGGTTTGTCACTGGTGTGGCAGTTGCCTTGGCGACAGATAAAAATATTAATGCTGCTCACTTCCTCTGTGGTTAGCAGGATACAAACCAAAAACAAACCCATCTTCAATGTTGTCATGCGGTCGTTGCGAAAACAAGGCATGACATATCTGTGCAAAGACATCCTGAGCAGTGACAGGAAGCAGCTCACAAGTGGCCGCCGATGACTTCTGCTCATTAGAACATCCAAAAAAACGTAAACAGAGATGAATAACTAGGAGCTGAGTGTTATTCTATCCAAAGATCGTTTTAAATTGATTTAATTTGGATCAAAGTTATGATATAATACTTTAATCGCTGTAAGAAAATGTGTTTATTCACTCTTTTAATGCTGCATCATTTGATGTTTTTCGCAAGCAATGTGTCAAATCACAGTTATATTGAAATGTTGAGTTTCAGGTTCGTAAAAAGCCCTCATTGATTGCTTATTACCATAAGCTTGGTTTAGATACTACCAAACTGTTAACATTTCTGTAGCAGTCAAAGGGCGCCACATCAGTTACTGTTAAACTGAAACTCAATGAAAGGGCAGAAGGAAGGAGGAATTTCTTTTTTAAATTTGTTGTGGTTATCTCGTTGGTAAAGAGGAAAAAAATGAGGTTTAACACATAATGTCTTGTTTCCTCAAACTTTAAACATCCAGTCTAATAAATTACATTAAAGAAGGTTAGATGACAAATTGTTTGGAAACAGTGGAGGAATAAGAAGGTTTTTCATGGATTAAGTCTTCATACTCAGAAATGCATTTTCTCATAAATTCAACCCAATTTAAAAAGACTTTAAAATTTTCTAAGCTTTATTTCCAGAAGGCATTACTATGAGAGAATCAACCAAATACAAATGTATTTACTTAAAAGTGGGCATCTGTTTTGAAAGCATCAATAAATACATTTTTTTATAGACACAGATGCCTCATGTTGTTGTTCTTTATGAGTAAACAAATTACTATCATAGCACAGCAACCTAAACTTGGCGATATGTGTAAGAAGACTAGGAGTTGGAAAGGTTGAGATTAACTGTATTGGTGGGAAACAAGGCTCGTAACGCTAACATGTACAGTCAGCAGGATGGAAGAGAAATACAAAAAAGCCCAATGTTGGGAAACTGCAGCCAGTGCTTTTAATGTGAGATCAAGATGCTGCAATAAACAAAAATGCATTTGAAGAAAAAAAAATAAAAGATTTTACTGGGCTTTGCAGGAAATGTGTAATTTCCTTCACGATTATTGTTGCTCCTGCTTCCTTCTTTTTTAATGTTCCTGTTTAAGGTTAATTCCTGGATTTTTTAAACCTGGGTTTTACTTTTTTCTCATTCAGCAGCATATATATGTAACTTTTTGTTTCTGTTCAACATGGAAACAAAAGCTGCAGCACGTCGCTTTAAGAGTTGAATGAATCCGCTGGTGAGCAGGATGGAAGGTCACTTCTCCTAAATGAAAAGCTCTTTGCTATTTAAAACATCGATGCCAAGCAAAAAGTGCCCAACAGCCATATGATAAAATGTTAATGAAATAAAATATTAATGTTCAGTGAGAAAATGTTTACAGATAGTTGAAAAACATTATGCAGATTAGTAGTAATTGCACACACTTTGGGTTGGATTTTAAAATAAACACAAATTTAGAGCTGGAAATGAAAAAGTTGTATAAACAAACGATAAATGCTTTAAGTTGTTGTAATATGTGGACTTTAGGTGGACTTTAGGTTTAAATCCTGTTTGCATCGGGAAGGGCATCCGGCTTATAATAGCAAAACCTGGAAATAGGAATAGCTGGAAGGACACATGAAAATACAAGAGATATTAAACAACGTGGTTTCTCTTAATTAGAGGTTTTTAATTTTCACAATTTTACTAATAAAAGCAGAAAAATGCGAAAGAGCCGAGAAAAGTCTTACAAAGTAGAACATGGTGGTGATCAAACCAAACCTACTGACACCAATTTAAACCAATAATTTCAGAGGAAGTAATCTATTGAAGCAGCTGAAATAGTTCAATAGATTAACCAAAATTGGCTGAACAATGAAATAAAGTCAGGATGTTTAAATTCTCTTGTCGACGTGATTCATTGGATATAGACCAATAGGTTTAATGATAATATAATTGTGTCCAATAGTAAAAATAGGCTGAGAAGACAGAATGAATATAATTTTCCAGAGATTTAACAAAGTCCCCTCTTCTCGCAGACCCCTGGCATGAGTTGTCCCACGAGAGTCAGGCCTATGCCCGAGCCCTCCGTCTTTACCGACAGGAGAAAGGATGCTACGAATCATGGGAGAAGCTGCTGGGCACCGAGGAACAGGTTAGAAACATTACCACGCAGCTTCCTGTCAAACTGTGACCTGCTAGCAATGTGCCTCATGTGCAGAGTGTGTACAGGTGCTGGCCCGCCTGGTGATGGAGGATATGTTGTCATGGCTACAAAACCAACTTCAGCCTAAGATGAAGGGCAAGAAGGCTGAACGGATCCGACAATGGCAGGCAGTGAGTTCAACTAACAAACCGAGTCTCTAGTATGTCAATGATCTTTGTTTAAAGTAAAGACATCTACTTTTTTAATGATTTGAGTCATTATTTCTGTGAAGACATTTTGTGAAATAAAGAACTGAAAAAAACTTTATTTAAATCCAAACTCATGTCCCATAATGAGATGCGTTGATCACTATGATGAGAGGTTTCTTGTTATTCTACTGTAAAACCAAACCATTGCATTCCTTTCAAATTTCCAAACACTGAGTTGTTAATTTATACTAAAGTTAATCGTTTTTATTTAATTTATCTTTTGAATCCACCAACATGCTTTACAGCTGATAAAGTATTTGCACACTCACTATGACTCCTCCTCCTCTTCTTGATCCCTCCAGTTAAACTCACCATCTTCCTGTTTGGTGGTCAGGATTTTCTCCTCTTCAAATTTAGGACTTCTTTCTTTCTTTTCTTTCATTCACCAAGATTAATTTGCCTGTAAATAGTTTGAGAAACCCAAAATGATGCCATATTTTGGCAAAGTGAGACACTGTTAGGAAATCATCTTTTTTCTTTATCTGCTGTTGAGATGTTATCACATAAAACCTTTGTAGTTTGATATATTGAACAACCACATAGCTAAGAATAACTGGTGTAAAATAAAACAGTTTTCAACAAAATTTATAGAGGAGGTGCTAATTCTGATGGTTTGCTCGTTCCTAAATGCTTAAAAAAAAGTTGAATGGTACAACAAAGAGAGAAGAGAAATGTATTTTCACATTGCAGCTTTTCTCACTGATATCTATCGATATATAGACAGTTCAAGGGACCTACACCCTGGTGCTGGAACAGCTGACTGCAGGTTTGGAGGCTCTGAGGGAGGAGTGTCGCCAAACAGCATCAGCCAGTCAGGCCCTCATCAGGTCCCACCTGGACCAGATAATGTCCTCTCATGTCTTCCTGGAGCAGAAAGTCAGAGGTAATGTATATTTACAACGACTTTATGCAACTGGCATTTTAACCTAGCAATAAAATTTATACAATAACTTTCTTAAGATATCATTTATTCATTCATACTCCAGCATGCATATCTGAAGAGATAGAGAAAGTGTGCAGTGAGTCAGTGGTGCCCTACTTGTCCTCCATCCTTGAAGCGCTTAACGAACACATCGGTGCAGGAATTCTTGGGATGCAGAACACACTGCAAACCCAAATGAACTCTGCATTTTCACTCACAAATGGAAAGGCGGAAGACACCAAAAAGGTGGGGAAAGCTCATTGTGAATTCCTGGCTAGATACCGCATATTCTGTTCATTTCATGTTGTTTAACATGGGTTCTGTTGTGTTTTCCAGGCCTTGATTGCTCTGCGCTCTATCAGTCTGGATGAGAGCTACAGAAAGGTGGAGAACCTGAGCAGCAAACTGGAAAACCTAAAAGAGAGGTTTGGAGTGAGCAGTGTCGAAAGGCTTGTTCAGTCTGCAAATCTGAAGATGGAGCAGGTGAGATATACAACTTCCTTATCAGCAGTGGAAAATTTTAAGATCGTGAGTTAGATGTGCATTTTATTTCATATGTGTGTGTTGCAGCTACTGGACAGCGCTGTTTACACTTTGGAGCAGATCTTCCAGTCATCAACACGATCAGAACCATCTCAGCTTCCTGCCAAGATGCCGAGAGCTAAAGAAAGAGTGTTAAAGGTAAAGATGCAACTACTTGGAGTCAGCAATTCGATAACAGGATGAATTGTTTTGGGTGGATAGTTTCTAAAACAGATCCACTTTTATTTCTATCCAATCGACTTTATTTATATAGCACAATTAGCAACAAAAAATGTTTCCTAACACATACAAAAAAAGCAATAAGAGTTTAAAATGAATGAATAAATAAAAAGGACACAGAAGACCACACAATTATGCACTGTTTAAAGCCAAAGAGTAAGGATGGGTCTTAAGACGAGACTTAAACCACACCACTGTGGAGGCTGTTCGTATATGGATGGGCAAATTATTCCAAAGTCTGGGGCAAACTTCAGAAAAGCCTCTGTCCCCTCTGGTTGCATTGTCTTAGGCCCTATTAGCTGAAGATGGCCCTCAGACTTCTGGAGTATTAATTCAAATATCAAAATAAACTAAAATATAGTAAAAGAAAGTGCTGCATGTGAAAATTTGGATAAAACATTTTCTTTCTGGTATTCCTAAGGACCCGGTTCCAAGTAACGTCCACAACTAACCAAGCAACATCCGGACGCCAAGCTAAACTCAAATTTCAGCTAAGATTTCATGGGAAAATAAACTAGAAGGCTTAAAATAAAATAAAAATCATAATGCAATGTGAGAACTATGTAGGCCCCAGTACTTCCTGTTTGGACAGGATGTGGTCTTCATCCTAAATTAAGCTCTTTTTTAACACTGATAAAGCCGCACATATAGCAATGCATGCGCTGTGAGCTTATTAACAGAGACAACACAAAAAGAAGCAACTCTAATTGAAAGTGACCAAAAATATACAAGGAAACTTATCAGTGCTGAGAATATATTTCAGATCACTTATTAAGATATTAAGCACTAAACACTCACACTTTGTGTGGGGTGTTGGTAAACTTTCAGGAAATGTGAAAAAAACAAACAAAAAACATCTACTTCATATTTTAAAAAAATCTTTTCTCAAAATGTTTTCAATAGAGACCTTAATGATATGCCTCCTATTATAAAGTTCCCAGGGCCTTCAGAAGAAAAACAGGCCCCTATCCTCACAGATCTGATGCTTAACTTAAAAGTGGGCAATATAATAAATAAATAATTAAAATTTATTGATCTCACACTGGAGAAATTTAACTCTGCATTTAACCCATCCCCTTGGGGAGCAGTGGGCTGCCGTTGTGTGGTGCCCAGGGAGCAGTGTGGAGATTGTGGTGATCAAACCAGGTGCAACCTTCTCAGGGCACAAGCGTGCTGCTCTAACCACTTGGCAATAACCTCCCCTTGCAAAAGGTGCTGTGACAGACAAAAGTCTCCAGACACTCCAACCACCTAAAAAAATATAGAGCTTTATTTATATATTTTTTAGAAAGTATTATGGGAGCAACAAGTGATTCCTTTCTGAACAAGAATGTGCAATGTAAAATAGTTTTTTAATTAGCATTTTTATTAACACATCTGCAAATAAAGAGATCTTTATTTATTAGACGTAAACTTAGACAAACTTAATTGTCATTTTGTATACAGTGTGTAATTTGGTTTAGTACAGCATTTCAGACAGTTAATAAACATTTATAATCCATAAAGCGCAGCACTGTTCAAAAGTAAATAGTGTAGGAGAAAAAAACATGGTGCAAAAAGAACAGATTGATATGGAAGTTCAGAAAATTGAATATATATAGTGCAAATTTGTAGTATTTTTGGTTTGGTGATGATCAATGTGTTTAAGTTTTATGCATGTGTTTGAGCAGCAGCTGGATTACGACAGCAGGGTGCTTCAGAGGAGGCTGTATCAGGAAGCTCTGCTGGAGATCACGCTGCCTTCTCTCGTCAGTCGGATGGACAGCAAATACAAAACGGTCAGAGACACTCATCGCAGGAGGCGCCTGGCTTAACACTCTCATTGCACACTTACCAAAATCAAAATTTCTCTTTGTGCAGGAGCTGGAGCAGTTTGAGCAGTACATTTTCTCGGACTACAGCAGTTTTATTCTGGTTCACAATGTCTATGACGACGTTCTGAGAAACATCCTGGTTAGAGAGATCACAACAGGTAAAGACACCCACTAACACACAAATCACTCCCAATGACATATCTGGGCCTCAGTATGCAGCCAATCAAACCCTGTGTTTACTCTTCAGGGAGAGGCAGGATCAAAGCATAAAATATCTCCAACTGCAGCCTGTTATAACACAGCATCTAGACAGGTCATCTAATACAAGATCTGAAAGACAAGTGCAAATTTAAAGAGGATAGTCCCCATTAAAATATAAAAATAGTTATAGATCACTCAAAAAGCTCTCAGCAGGCAGAAAAAGCACATTCATTAAAAGAGTATGATGACATGTTTAGCAAATCTATTCAGTTTTCCAAGTTAAATAAGTAAAACAAAAACAAAAAACACTGGACTTTGTTTTCCAAGTTTGAAGGTGTTCACTTCCCATCCAGAAAGCTTTCTCAATTCAAAATGTCTGGAGGAGCATTGAGTTCCAGGCTTATAGGGTGGCCAAAACAAAAGCCTTGTTGTGGCTTAGAAACATGCAAATTGAACCGAAAAAACAGATCCACCCCTTAGTAATGGGGAGTTGTTGAGGTCGTTGTTGGCCTGCAAGACCCGATACTGGCCTAGGCCTCTGAAAAGGGAGTAATTGGGGATTTTGGTCTCCTGCATGGCAATGATACCAGGAAGGAATCAACAAAGGAGTCCACCCCCTCTGTTTAAAGCTGGTTTTCCTCTCTTAACATAAATGGCTTCCTTCAGACACTTTTTAAACCACCTGTCTTCTTTGTCCAAAATGTGAACATTCTGATCCTTGTATAGCGTTTGTGTCACTCTATAAACCTGGAATACAACGATACTCCAGACATTTTGAATTGAGAAAGATTCCTGGATGGTAAGCGAAGCATTGTCAAACTTGGAAAACTTTTTTTTTTACTTTGTTGGAATCTTCTCCAGCATGTGTTCAGTTGTTCACCATGGAAACATCAGGCAAATAAACATTTGTTTAAACAATCTAAGGATAATCCTCTCCAGAATAATTGTCTTTCTTTTCAGCTCTAAATGTCATTGCAGAGACTTTTAAATATGGTTTCATAGAGAAAGGTGTGCATACAGTTGCACTTCTAGACCAAATATACTCTGGGGACTGGGTGGGGTTGGTGTTATTTTTATAGGCGTATAGAACAAAAACAAAACAGGCCAAATCTTTAATCGTTTAGCATAATAAGTTAGCTATAGAGACACTCATGGATCTGAAAGTTCCAGACTCCAGATTTAACAAAATTATGATCCCATCTCAATACGATAGAAGCTAAAAATAGTACACCTGCATTTATAGTCATTGATAAAGTAAAAAAATATGAAGGTAAACATTTTATTTGTCAAAGGAACCAATCATTTACAGTTTCTGTGCCAGCAGAGTTAATCTGAAATAGATTTAGTATTGTTTTCAGTAAAGGGGCCACAACCGGGGCCCAGACAAGTTCCACAGGGGCATATGTGTGAACTTTGGATTCCTGGTACAAGATTTGTTTTATTTCTTTTGGACTGTTCATGATTTGTATGTGCCATCTTCCTTTCATAGTGGTCCAGGATGCTGCCAGTAAGAAGAGCAACAATCTCCTGTTGGACACGTCAGATTTAGCCATAAGCCAGTACAGTCTAGCAGGGCAGACACCTCCTATCTCTGCCCCTGACAGCCCATCGGTTCAGCCTCGACACCCAGAGGAAAGTACAAATGATGAATCTGCATCTGTGAAGGAAGATCAGAGCAAAACATCAGAAGTTTGTCTTGAGGGGGATGTAGAACTAAAGGCTGAGGCCATGCCTGAACTCAGTCCAGCTCAGGCCCTTAATCCGAGCATTTTGCTTCAGTCTCCTGTGATTGTCGTGACACAACAGTTTGATGAACATGAAAACAAAGAGACTCAGGGCTCGGCGGAAACTGGGAAAGAGGATAAAAGTGAAAGCGAGGCAGCAGGAGAGAAAGTAGAAGTTGAATCTTCCAACACAGATGGAGCTTCTACTCAAGAAGCTGCTGAGACCGACTCTGGCTCTGCTATCCAGCACGCTCCTGATCCTGTTTCTTGTGTCCCGATTCAAACAGAAGATGCCCAAACTGAATCTACTCCAAGTGAATCTGTATCAAGTGAAAATCAAATCTCAGCTGACCTCCTGACCTCAGAGGACACCTGCTCCGTCCAGCTCCCATCACCACCGCAGTCCCCCTGCTCGGACAGTACAATGAAAATCAGTCTAGGGTCTCTAAGCGAAGCTATAGCTCCATGCAGCACGGAGCCTGTGGTAAAGCAGCCTACTGACAGGGCAGTCTACTTGACGGGCCCAATCAAGGACAACTGGGAGGTTGAGAGAATGAAAGAGGAGAAACAGAGAGAAGCATCAGAGAATGAGAAAAGTAAGGCCAGAGACGAGGAGCAAAATGGAGGACAAGAAGATGGTGCAGCCCAAACAGGAGGCGATTCTATCGGTGAACCATGTGCATCATCGGCATTAGCAGTAGAGAGCGCCACGGTCTCAACGCCTAAGCTGACGGGGATTGAAGGAGGTCTGAATGATGACCAAACGAAAGGTCAGATTCCAACAGAGGCTAAGGCAGAGGGAGGAGAACATGCAGAAGAAAAGGAAAACAATGATCAGGAGAAGGAAGATCAAACTTTTCAGCCAATGGAATCACTTCCAGAGTTGGAATCTGACCCTCAGTTGGACAGCGTGTCCATCATCAGAGACCTGGTGACCGAGATCATTGAAGTGGAGATAATGATCAGCCCCTCTGAAAGCATCAGCAACGATGCCCCGACATAAACACCACGTCCACAGAGAGAGAATCACAGACAAATCAACTAGTAAAGGTTTACAACAATACACTTATTTGTAAATGACACAGAAATCTGAGAGGCAAAATAGGTCCAGTTTTATTTAATCAATGGGCATTCAATTAGATTTTGATAAAAACACTTTTTAATTTAATTTTGTTGACATGAGCTGTTTTATTTTTTATTTTTATATGTAATCAAGTTGCCAAATAAACATGTTTAGATAACCTTCCCCACGTTTCCTTTTTTATTCTAGGGGGAGAGATGTCCCTGAAACCAGCACATTTAACTTTACAAAACATTTAAACATTCAAATTTCATTATTTTATCTTTTCTTAATTGTCATCTGAATCGTTTATATTATAAACCAACACAAACTGTATATAGCTATAAAGTGTATGGATAAATGATTAATGGCTTTTAAAGATTTTTCACATAAAATCACAACAGTTAAGGATACATTTACAACTAGTCCTCCTGATTCGTTTGCAGAGCTATCCGATGCTGTAACCACAGCGACAAATCTTTCAGCTTTCTCTCATCTAAACACTGAATCTAATCAAAATACCCAACGCTCAGTCTGATTGGATGAAACAACCATTTCATGTCTTGCTACAGATTGTGGTTTCAGGTCTGAACTTTGCTCCAAGTTTAGAAGAACAATGACATCGTTAGTGCCTCTTAACTTGTTTCCTTGCAGGATTGCCCTGTATTTAGCTCCGTCTTTACTCTCATCACTTGAACTGTAGGTAGTTTTTCAGTTCCTACTGGAGCAAACCATCCCCACAGCATGATGCTGCTAGCACTGTGTTTTATCTTGGTGAATTCAAGCCAGTATTAAAAGTATTGTGAAGGATTTTCACAAATTTTTTGAAAAGACCCGCCCTCTCCATTTTAAATAAAAATCCACGTGCACAACCCTGTACCCGCTCCCGAGAGGGAACGCCTGTTAAACGTGAGCGCGAGCATGCATGAGCCCATTTTTCCTCAACCATGCTCTGTTTAAAAATTGCTGTTTGCGGCGTGCAGCTGGCACAGTGGCGCATGTCTCTCCCCCTCTCTCATACCCCCTTTCCTTTCAGCCTACTGTCATAGAAACGAGCCACTAGTGCCATTAAAAACTAAAATAAAAAATACAGTTGCTGTTTGCATCACTCCTACAAGCTTACTTTCCAAAAGAAGATTTGCAATTTTTCCACTATGTCAGACTCACCACTAGTAAGTAGGAAGGCCTTATGTAAACATATCACCTGAATGATTGACAATTAGAAGGACCACTTATTTTGAGGATCCACTTGAAAAAGAACATCCTCCACTATACCTTTGACATATTGGTTGCTGAATCCCCTGTAGATTAAGAATTGTTTCAATTCTTCTCTGGATTTATGCTGAGATTAAATCACATAAAAACATTGTATTTATTGATGACTTCTAAAGGCAAGTGATTGCACTGGATTTTATTAAAGGACATCAGAAGACAGAAAGCTTTATACAAATGCCTGCCAGTTTTTAGATTAAGATTTTTTTTTTTTAAACAAAAAAACAAAACAAAAATTCTGCTTGATATTTATCTGCAACTTTTACTTGGTCATTAGGATAAGAACAAAAGTAAAATCTCCATAATACACAGATTGAAAATAAAAATAAAAAATTTACACATGACATTAAGAAGTCCAAACCGTTTCCAGAAGAGATACATCCCATCTTTTTTAAAACCAGAAGCTGACCAACAGTGAGAGGGACAGATTACATGTTGTTCGACAGCCATAAAGAAACTGACCATGAAAAAGAAATCCATTACATAGACATTTAAAAACATGCGTTAAAATGAAAATATATGTGCAACATATGCCTAAAAAACAAAAAAAATACTGCTGTGGTGTGAGGTAAAAGCTTAACGAATGAAGATAAAACAGCCTTTTTTAGATCTCGGCTTGAAGCCAAGTTATCCAGTGTTTCCCTAGTTGGAGCCTTTAAGTCACATCTCTTAAGCCGGTCAAAAACGGGTGGATATTTTCAATTTTTGCACGCAGCTACAGCTCAAGCTGTACAACAAAACTGCAGAGTTCACAAGTTCAGAGCTCACGATGCATGTTCACACTGTGCCGCCCGACGCTCTGAAGAGATCTTTGGTCGACCGACTGAATTTTAAACATGTTCGATTTTCTCCCAACCTTACGATTCCTGATCAGGAGGCGGTCGTCAGAGGCTGACCGCCCCTCGTTACCCCCCCCCTACACTACACGACGTGCGCTCAGGCGGAAACTCGACTTGATCGATAAATTCTTGCATGACTGGAGAATCAGCCCGAAAAGTGCAAAAAATCGTAGCGTATAAATGGCTTTAGACGAAAACACATCTATTAGTCCAAGCATAAATTACACTTTTAAACGCTTTGCTTTGTAGGGGTTTGAAAATGCAATCCTTCATTCTGTGAAATGCAAATGAATATCTGCATGTGAGACAGCTTGAGTTGGTTTGGAGCGAATTTCTTTCGCTTTACAAGTACAAAAAAAGTTTGTACTTTTCTGCATCTTTTGTAGCAAGGAAATGTCTTGAAGAAGCAATACAAAACCAAAACTTTGCAGCAGTTTTCAATTTCATTTCATGCTTGTGTTTCTGTTCTGTATGGACTGTTACAACTAAAGTTACTAAAGTTACGCCCTGCTTTAGATGAACTCTGCCACATTTATTTTAAGAGATATAGTCAAATATATGCATACATTAGTGTAGGTTTATAAGACAACTATGATACCTAGGAGTTAGAGGAAATAAACCATGTTGAACCAAAAGAGGCAATTTTTTCCTATTTTTTGTTGTTTTTATGTGGTAAGTGTCAATTATTTTCTAAAATAATGAGAAAAAGAAAGACATATCTTTATAAGTTAATAATAAATAAGAAGGTGAAATGAAAAGTATGAATTGAACTGGATATTCTGGTCTTTACCTTCACTAAATAAAGTATAAGACATGTGGTCACTTTCTAAAGAGCTACAAGATGTTCAGTCCTGACAACTAAGAGTGAAGCAGTACAGAGACTGGCATGCACAACGATGAGAAATGATTGTGGAATGAGTGAGATTATGAGAACTGGTAGAACGGCTGTTCATCCGGTCTGAAGCCATAAGCCGTGGCTGGTCGTCCTGTCGTTGAGCTGCTCTGGTCAAAGACATCATTGACATCTCTGGAACAGAAAAAACGATTACAAAGAGATCGACTTCTTATAAACAGGATGAGCAGTTAAAAGACTTAATGAGACTCTCTGATCTGAACAAAGGTATATGACAAAGAGATTCAATTATTGAAGACATTAGATTGTTTCTACCTCTTTGCACAGAGCACAGCACCTTTATAAAGGTCTGAATTAGGATTCAACTTTAAAGCTCACAAGGAAACTAGACAATAGCTTAAAAATAATTAAAACCAAAAAAAAGGAACATAAAGCAGGTTCTTTATGTTATTCTCCACCGATAGATAAACAGCAGTGATACTAGACACACTCAGGTTGGTCTTTGGTCTATGAAAAATGAAGCTGCTAAATGCAACCTTCTAATCTCTACCTCACGTCTCAAACACGTTAATCTAATCCACTCATCCAATGAGTTAGAAACACTGAATTTTATAATCCCACTCTAATGAGCTACTGTCCTACTCTGCTACAGCACACACTAAAGACAAAAGGATGATTTAAAACAGGAAGTTTATGAACAAGGTTCTGCTCTGACTAATTGGTGTTTGTAAGATAGGATGGAGCGCCCCCTGCTGGTGTATGTTGACTCACCCTGCATGGTGCAAGTCTCCATTCTGAGGCTGCAGGACGCTGAAGAAATCTGGGCTTGCCGAGCCGTCTCCTGGAGTTATTCCATCTAGAGTTGCATGGAGCAGATTCAAAAGAAGCATGGATAGGCTGGAGGCTCTACTGTTTAGTTCCAATGATCTGCTTACATGCCTTGTTCACCCCTGTCACACCTTGATGATTTAGCCAGCCTGATGTCCCAGAATCTCCTAAAACGCTGAACTTTCTATGCATTTTTTCAATTTTGGGCGTATACTAAAGAGTCCAGAGCGTATGTCCAAAGACAGCCTAACTTCTGCATGACGCACTGCAGCGTAATGTCCATGAAATGTAACAAGCCAATGTCCTGAGGGGGCAGCAATGCGCTCGGAGGCGCCCAGCTTGCATGAAAAGATTTCTTTGATCACCATATTAACCTAGCTGCTCTTTACCGCCCGCCCTGCCAAAAAAAGAACAAGAAATAAAAAGAAAAAGGAAAAAGAGAGAAAGAAGGTTTGCAGTCGCAGTAGATTCAGCGTCATGTCTGCTAGGAAGTTCGTTGGTCATGACGGTGGGCGTGAACGCAGGGAGGATTCATCACAAACACCAAGTTCATGATGCGTTCAAGTTCACCCTATGATGGGGATAATCAGGGTTTATACAGGAATGAATAACTAACTCAATGCTTTTTAATAGTACAAATATTAATAATAGTATTTAGTAATAATTTGAATGCCACCAACAGGTACAGGTCGACAGGCTGCAGCCCTGTCTCGAATTCCTCGTTTTACAGCAACTTTTGTTGAAAATGGCATTTTTCCCCCCATTCTCTAGCTTTTTCTGAACATATGGCTTTGCGGTGAACCGGAAGCAGTTCCAATCCACACAAATTTATTTTTAAGAAAGCATTTTAAATGCCACAATAAACACATTTAATGCATTTTAATTAAAACCTTAATTTAGAAAATAATTATTTAATGACATTTAATGATTTTGAATGACCCGCAGAAACCCCGTATATGGTAGCTGTAAGTTGGAAAGCGGTCATCTGGAACACGTCAAATATGTTGATATGCGTTGGAGATAAGTTCTTGATAAGTTACGCATAAGTTATAGACAAGTTACTCATAGGTTTTAGATAAGCTGGACAACACAACTTATAAGGAAATTACACGTAATGTATGTAAAGGATCAATTAACTGTACATGTACAACTTGTACATGTACAGTTACATAACGTAACTTATTCCCCACGTATGAGCATACGCTGGCATACATATTGAGGTACTTGCCGTATGTCGGTGTGTGCCAGCGTCTTTCAGCATACTTCACCATGCTTATAAATTATAATAAACGAACCAATTACTTATTCAACGTATGCCAGCGTTTTTCCCAGACTTTTTGTACGTCAGGCATACGCTGGTCTAAATCGTCAAGGCGCGACAGGGGGCTTAACTGGGTTAGCACACACCGTACCTGCGCTGTAGAACAGATCCGTCCGGTCGTTGTCGTTATCGTAGAGATATGGCTCGGCCTCATCAACCTGTCGACTCTCGACCATCTCCAGCCACTGGTTGTTGTGGAAGCGAAATTTCTCTGACTGGATCTTCCTCCCCCACTCCTCATCATACTCCTAACAGTTACAGGGGGAAAAAAGGATTTACACTTGAGTCGATCGGGTCATTTTCATTCATTATCTTACAGTCCATGTAAATGTGTGTTGAACAGACAGGCTGACTTACAGCGATGATGTCCAGAGTGTTGTCACACACTTTCCTGATCTCTGTGTTCTTGTCATGCATAAGATCAATCAGGTAAGCTGGAGCCTCTAGAGAAAAGGTTAAAGAAAAGACACCCAGGAACCAAAATAAATAAACTTTTAAAAAATTGAAATAAAAAACTCTGCATTTATGTTGCAAAGAAATCTTTGAAGGATACGGGTGTCTTTGATGATGACATCTCGAGTCGCCTGATGAAACACCATCTGGTAGAAGACGTACACAATCTGACACACAAACTCGTCATCCTCCTGGCGTGCTGCAGAAAATAAAACATCTGTAGTACTAACAATGAACCACCTGCACGGGCTCTCAGAAGGATAAACATTTCTGCTTAAATTGCATTTTTTGTTAGAAAGAAAAAAAACAAAAAAGTGTGTAAAATACTTTGCATAAGTGTACATACCTTTATGCTAATACTTAACTAAAATAGCTTTTGATTTTATTTAATTTAGGCATAGGTCTCACTTAGGGCTAAAACAATTAATCGGATTAATCAACTAATTTAGTAATCGATTAATCGTTAACTGAAGTGTAAAGACCCTAAAATATGGCTTTAGCTGATAAAGCAACCCCCCCTTAACAGCAATTATGCCAAGATTGTAAAAAAATAGGTAAAAATTTTGCATTTAAGATTAAAAAAAGAAGAAGCTTTTTCAGCCATCTATATGCCCTATCCAGAACTCAAGTGGAAAAGTTTTACTTTCACCTGGTTTAATTTCGTAATAAGTCTTCTATAAGGAACCTTTTGCTATCCGATTATGAAGTAATTAATCGAAAAAAAAATAACCGAGAGATTAATTGATTTGCAAAACAATCCTTATAGTGAATCTGCTTAACATTACGCTGAGATCAGCTTTCCCTTTAAGAGTTTTGGTTAACTGTATCCTGTAATTAATTTAGTTAGCAGACACATTTAAAAGCATTAAAATGATCTATCCGAACAAACCCATCTGTCAGGCGAGAGGAACAAACTAAGGTTGCAAGACAGAAGATTGTACCTCTAAAGTGAAGATCCAAGCTTCGCTAAAACGTAAGTGACCTTCGAATGCAGTGCTGCGCTGCATCATTAAGATGATGCGTCTTATTTCGTCATTTGAACCGAACACTTCTTTTATAAATCTGAATATGAGAATAGGTTTTAATTCAGCCTCACAGTGACTCCAGGTATTTGGGCTAATAAACCAGAGGACAGCCTCAGCGGTAACACTGGAGTCCTGAGTTGATCCATATCTGTGTGCTATGTTCACTTGTGCAACTTGGTTTTCAGCTGTTAAACTGTGCAGAGTTTATTTAGAGACAGATATAATTTTATTAGTCAGAGATTAATAATAATAACAGCAATATGAAATTACTCTAAAGTAACGACATAAAAACACTAAAGAAGTTAAAAGATGGAATCACATTTAAGATGCAAAAGGTTTGGAAAGGATTCATTTAGGCCTTGCCTGGAATTTTAACAGGGTTTACATGTTTTCTGTTCCCCTCCAGTCTAAATACTGATCTGCCACCATTTACCGTTCAGCAGCTCAATAAGAGCAGGGATGATGCCAGATTTGGCCAACATGACAGCGCAGGCATCATCTATGGAGACGGTTCCAATCATTATGACCGCCTCCAGGATAAGGTCATCCTCAGCCGAGCCTAAAACACAAACAACCCGACTATAGTTGTTAATGACTCACTAAACTAGTAACATTTTACTACAAAATGCATTTATTTCAGTAATGTGATTTAAAGAAATAAGCTATACTAATGAAGACTCAACATTTTATTTCTTATACCAAGAAAATCAATATATAAGAGCAAAAACTGCAATATGTCAAACAAAAGAAGCTAGCTGTTCAGAGTTTTGATTGCAAGCATATTACTGGAAAGTTAAGTGGAAGGAAAAAAGTAAAAAGGCAACTCTTCTAAAAATGTGGTACCTGGTTTGAGTTTGTCTTTGAGAAAAGGAACCAAGTTATACTCCTTCAGAACCAACTCCCAGTCCAGGTCGGGGACAGTAAGGTTGGCCAGCGTGCCCAGACACTCCAGCACCCACTCCTCCTCTTCCTCAGTACGGATCTCTGCTGCCAGGTCACCCACGTAGTCCTGAAAAAGATTGGAGCAAAAATACATCACAGGTCCTCAAGCTCATTTGGAAAAATATTTCTGATACTAGCTGAGAGCAGGAGAACCTGTTCTCATAATGTATGACCGAACTCACAATAAACAGGGGTTTAGTTGGGCCATCATGCTGGGAGATGTTTCTGATCATCTTCATAAGAAGGCAGTCTTTTGTTTTCAGAGCTCTTTTCATCAACATCTTCAGCCCATTTCCTTAAAAACAAAGAATTACACTTAAGAACGATACCCGGTCAAAACAGCCTGCTCTACTGCAAAAAGCCTCCACAGAGATAATTGTTGCAAAGCCCAGTTTACCTTCACACATGAGCTGGGCATTCCTTTTGTTTGCAGCCAGGTTAATGCAGATAGAGATGAGCTCAGCTTCTATTTCCTCGCCGCCATGGTCATACAACATCTGCATCAGCTAAGTTCAAACAGACATAAATTCAGCTAATGCTTTTGGAACCATCCGTCAGCTTCAAGGATACGGACACTCCAGTACCTGAGGTATGCAGTCGGTGTAAACAAACATGCCTCTAAAGCGGTCGTCCATGCTGATGTGGTACAGGATGCGCATCACCACCTGCCGGTTGCTCTCATCACCTGCATGAAGAAGAGTACGGTTCTGACTTACTGCTGTTCAAATTCAGCACATCATACAAGTTGCTTCTGTTGCTTGTTGTTACCCAACAGAGCTGTGAGCTTAGGTAAAAGCCCAACTTCCACCATCTTGGCCCTGAGTCCAGAGTCAAAGGAGAGGTTAAGTAGCAGACGCAGAGTTAGATTTAGCAGGTCCTCATGCTGACAGGGAACAAGACGGGCCAGGTGTTCCACAGTGTCAAGCTCAGCCTGCAAAATAAACAGACATGGCAGCTATGACATTCAATCGCTGGAAACATTCATTGTAATATGTAAAAAAAAAAAAAAAAATTCAAGAAGCTAATAAAAGTAAAACATAAAACATGTCAAACTGCACCACAGACGTCTTTATATTTGAAATGTGCCCCGTTGCACCAAAAGAAGAGCAGCGTGTTTCTGGTCTGTCCTCACCATGTCATTCTTATTCTCCAGGAAGATGGAGAGCTTTTTTAGGAACGAAACCACCAGCACCAACAGCTCCTCATCGTCCCGCTCCAGAACTCGGACCAGCAGCCCCACAATGTTTTTATTCCTCATCTTCAGCTCCGTCCTCGTGTCCTCAGCGAGATTCAGCAGGAGGTAAAGAGAAACTGATAGGAGGAGAACAGGACAAGGAGCATGAAAAGAAAGCTTCCATTATCTTCCAATTTAAAGGATCCAAAAGAATTTAGTGATTAACACTTTGATTAAACACATTACAACATGCATGCCTCAGTGCTGATTAGTATTAAATGTGCATGAATCACAGCCGTACCACACCTGGTAGGATTCTTTTTCATCGGTTTTAAGTCAAACCGCTTGCAAAGATATATTTGAACTTTCCACATTGTGTCACATTAAAAGGATAAACTTTAATGTGTTTAATTTGGAGTTTATGTGACAGATTATTACAAAGTATTCCATAAGCACAAACAGGAAATAAACCAGTTTTTCCAATTAATAATGTAAATATAATCTGTTGAACTATCTCCCGCTGGAACTGCAACTTCAAGACTGCAGGGCCATTTCTCTACCAGCCCTTCATGTGCAAAATGCTGTTTCTTTGTCCATTCTTCTTCTAGTGCAGACTTAGTTTGATGTATAAAGGTCAGGACATATATTCTCAACTAGATTTAAATCTGCACTTTGACTAGGCCAACTAATACAGGGTTTATACATGAATGGGTAACTCTTATTTAATGCTTTTTAATGCTCTAGCCATGTCTCGAGTTTCTCGTTTTCCTGCCACTTTGGTTAAAATTTGCATTTTCACCCCCATTCTCTAGCCTTTTCTCTGCCTAAAGCTTCTTTTCCGAAACATTTTAATGCCATGACTATCAAATTTAATGAATTTTAATGCCAATTAAGGCCTTAATTTAAAAAATAATAATTTAATGACTTTTAATGATTTTTAATGACCCGCGGAAACCCTGTATTAGATAATCTGGCTGTCTGATAGAATGTATCCCAGATTAAAGTCTCTGAGAGGTTTTCTAACCATTTTTTAGCTCCATTCAATTTCACATCAACTCTGACCAACTTTTTTGTTGAAGACAACAATCCCCACATCATGACACTGCTAACACCGTGTTTTACTGTGGATATACTAACACACGTTCAGTGTTAGTATATTTTTTGCATGTAGATTAAAAGATCAAATTACTAATAATCTTCTTGCTAAGCCTGCAGCTGTAAAACATACTGTCTTTTTAAAGTTATATTTATTTATTTTGCATAATACAGTCTTACTGTAAAATTCTGCAAAATCTGCAGAAATTTTAGGTAAAGAGGAACACATGCCATTTCTCAGTCTCCATGCTGTTTGTCCAGTTAAGCTCTCAGATGGCTTCACAGAGCAGCTGAACTCCATTTATGAAGTGATTTCTCAAAGTAATGAGAGATATGTAGAATATTAGAATAATGTGGCTGACTATGCCTTATTTTGTGTAAATCTAGCATGCAAAACCTAATAGAATAAAACACAAAAGCACTTTAAGAATTTTATTTTACCTCTGAGAAGCTGCTCCTGCTTAGCTAAGAGGCCTTGGTATTTCCTCAGAGCTTTATCCTGGTCTCTCCTCAGAGAGCCATTTTCTGGTGCTGCCTCACGTATCCAAAGCAGCATTAAGGAAAACATTTCATGTTACCAAAAACAAGAAGGGACAGCAGCTCAAACTGTTGAACTAAGGGACAGCATTATAAAAAAAGGATATAAGCCTTGCTTTTCTTGCGCAGCTCCTCCCGCCACACATCGTACCTCTTCAGCTCATGTTCCACCACGCTCATACACAACGCCCCTATCTTATAGTGACTCACCACCGCATGGAACTGAGAAAAACTAAACAAAAAGGGTTCAATCAGTGCTGGGAGACGTATTCAGGGAAAATGTGGACCTTTGTGTGGAGGTTACCTTGAGAAGCAGAAGAAGATGTAAATGATGCTGGTAGCCAAGTCAACACTCTGCTTCCAGTCCTCCCTCAGAACTCTGGCCAGAGCTCCCAGAGCAGCTTCTGTACAGAAACACACGCTTTATGCTCAACAGCATATAGATTGTTTTTTTATTAAGCAGGATTAACCTACAATTAATACATTTATTACAATTAATACTTTAAATACTTTAAAAATTGACTAAATTATTCAGTCGGGGATGAAATGTGTTCAATTAAAATCAGAAAATTAAAGATTATGTGTATGTTTAACAATTTCTACTAAAAAAACATTTAAATAGGTTACTGGGATTTATAATAAACATCTAGAAACTTTGAACCAGTAATCTATTTTTCTGTTCCTCAATAATATAAATTCTCTAAAACACAACAGCAAAGAAATAGCTGCTGAATAAATCTTCCCATATGAACAGTCATTTAAAAGTTTGAAGTATTCAAGACTTTAAAAACAAACAAAAAGGAGACTAGATTAGGAACTTAATTTATGTTTTTTTCCTTGAACATGAGCAGGATGGATGGGGAAAATAAACAAATAAAAAAATCAGAGGAACAGCAGCAGCTACCATGTCTTGTGAGGCCTTTCCAAACACTAACTAAAGAGGATAATATACCATTGTGCAACAGCTCCTCCAGGTTGTCGGGGTTGCGGGCGAGCTGCAAAATCAGAGCCGCGCCCCTGATTTTCTCTGGGATGCCTTCATAGAGCAGCTCGACATACTCATCCATTCTGGTTATAATGGCTTCTTCGTTTAACTACACACAAATAAAAAACAACAACAACACAGACTTTCAACAAAATTCTACCGGAAAAAAAAAAAAAAAAAAAAAAAAGTGGGATGCTATAGATTCCATAAAGAATCCGAGGAGTTCTGTCATACCTCCATTCCTTCAAATGGTGTCAGGTCTTTGGGCTTTACTGCCCTTTTCTCTTTCTTCTCTGCTGAAGACAGGAGAAAAAAAACATGAGTAGAAAACTAAAACTGTTCTATTCTTCTTTTATGCAGATTTGAAAGAAAGGATGCATGAATTCACTAATCTATTCCAGAGCAGGAGCAGATTATTCTGTCTCACCTTTCCCCTCCACGGGGGAGGACTTCCTGTTCTGCAGGTAGTAGAGCAAATGCTCCACCTGAGGCAAACGGGAGGCAGGGATGAGTTTACACTCCTCCACCACTTTCCTGGCCAAAGCTGCCACATCCGTGGTAGGAGAGAGGCTTTTCACACGGATACTAAAGGGGAAAAGATGACAGGTGATCTAAAGAGTTGCTAATTGTTAAAAAGCTATTAATACATAACACCACAGAAATAAAGTGTTTTACAAGCATTAAAGCAGCTGAATGAAATGTACCTATTACATCTTTATATTCCCCACATTTCTATTTATGTTAATGATTTCTCACCTCTTATAATACTAAACAATTCACCACTTTTAATAGCATTATTTGCCCATACTGTACATGCTGCACTCTGTCCTTCTGATTGGAGGCTAAACTATATTGACAATAAAGTCTAACCTACTGCTTAAAGCGGACGTAGTTTGACCTCTTATCAATCTGTCAGTTTAAGGATTGCCTTAAATACCATAATTAAACCTTTATTCCATGTTAGTTCAGAGTGAGAAGAATGAAAACCAAAACCATAAAACAAATGGTTGAAGGGTAGCAGCTCCCTCACATCTTTTGCCCCTCCTTGCGTTCCCCCAGCACTGGACCTCCATCCTCTCCCAGAATGGATGCCTCCACCTCATACTGGACCACCAGGGCCTTCTCTGTGGGATGGACGTCCAAACTGCCTGCAGTCACTTTGCTGTGGGCGACAATAAACCAGTCAAAGTTTCAGATGTAAAACACTGTAAACTTTACTTTTAAAAGAGCACTTTGTTCCTATGATGATAAGCTTGCTAACCGCAAGGTCAGTAACGACGACAGTGACTTATTTACTAATTATTTCAGACATACCGGTCCATATTGTTGAAAAAGTACAATGAAAATAAAAAAAGAGGAAGGAAGAGAAGTAAATTAAAAAAACTGCAAAAATAATAAATATCACATTAGAGGCAGACTTTTAGCTAGGAATATTTCATAGGGTGTACACCTCTGTATCACATCTTCAGGCTTTGGGCAGCATAGGGGGGTCCAGGGTTATCCTCCTCTGGCAAATATTGAAATTTAGACTCTCTGAAATTCTATTTCCTGCACTTTGAGGTGGAATGCATCTATTGTTTTGTCTTTGTTACAACACTACTTTTGTTCTCGTTATGGGAAGTATGCATGCTTGACTACAGGTGGAAATTTCATAAGGAAGCATGAGATCTTTCTTCGGTACAATATTATGTTTTATAGGTTCATTCAAACAGTCAGAAAGTGTAATGCTACATTCACACCCAACGCTATTTGAGCAGCAAAAAAAAAGTGCCTGCTGCTTAATTTTGATGCATGTACACATTAAGGTCAGACGAGCCTCAAGAGCATCTTTGATGTTCCTGAAGGGCGTCCAGATGCATCCAATTCTTCTACTGTGTTCAATGGCAGAGACAGGCTTTGCTATATTTGCTGTGATCAGAGGGTAAAAAGTAGTGTTAATATGTTATTAAGGGAGAAAGTCCACCTGAAAACATCATCAGTGCAGTCAGTTAATCAAGATTACAATTCTGCCTTTGAATGTTATTCCGCTGTCGGAGCTGCACAGACACCCACATACCAGCAGTGTGCTGTCACTGGGATATCCCAGCAGCAGCTGTCTCAGGCCCGGTCACCTCTTGGGGGTTTCCCCCTACTGTTCCTAGTGGCTGGAAGATGATGTTAGCATTTTTCAGGTATGCGGTTCAAACTGCAGGCACCAGAATAATAAAAGGAAACATATTTTGCCAGCAGGTTTCAACATGTTAGGTAAATATAGGCGTTAATAAACAGTTTCAGAGGAGGGATCATAGGTCTGCATCAGGAGCACTGTTTGTCTCCCTGACAGCTCCAAGATCAGCTTCTCTGATCATTTGATGTGACGTGTTGAGCAGTCACACGTCATTTTCCATCTGCTACTTGTGAAACCTTGAAACCACCTGTGAAATTAGGGCGTACCAAAGCCGTACATCCCAAAACAGGGTGTACAATTTCTAATATTTTTAATAAAGGGCATATAATGTACACCCATATGGATTGCTAACTAAAAGCCTGATTGGAGATGCAGTAACCATTATTATTATTGCTTATATCTGCATTTGTTTCAGTATTTTTTAGAAGTTTGAAGAACAGACGGTGTAACTTTTGTTTATTACAATCAACAATCAACTGGTTTTCCTTAGATAGAAAACTTTTAATCAATTTGACTGGATGATCCGGTGAACTGTAAAGTGCCTTGAGATGACATCTGTTGTTAATTGGCACTATATAAATAAACTGAATTGAATAAGATGCAAATCTTTTATACTTTTTTATTAACACAATCAAAGGCTTCAGTGCATAACAAAAAACAAAAACAAAACAAACAAAAAAACATCTCGATTGTATATAATTAAAACCTCCTTCGTGGCTTATGTAAAAATAGAATGTATATTTACATCAAATCCAAATTTAATATCTTGTTTTCCAAGAATTTGCCCTAAACAAATAATTTGTATTCATCCATCAGCCAAGATCATCCTCAGGCAGACACACCCAGGAAAGAGCAAACAACTGATAGCTGGCTAATGGAGGCAATGTACGATTTCATATAGATGTTTTACTTAAATAAAGCATGTATTATCCCTTAAACAAATATTTACAACATTCTTTATTAGCTTTCTAGTTATTAGCCGCCATCAGAACCATTTTATCTTGGACAGCTGCGACCCAATTCCCTTGTTTTTAGCTAGTTTTACAACATCATAATATAATAGTTATTTTTTATCAAAGTAGTATTATATTATAAAACATTCGATGTTTTTTTTTTTCCTTCTTTTTTTTCCTTTTATACCGCTGGTAATTAATATAAGCTGAGGAGGCTAACAGACACGATGAGAGGAGACTCATCCTTTTTAAAACAAACAAGATGTGTTTCAAGAATGTATCCGAAAACAAGTCGAAATGACAACAAGGTGGATCTTTGAAATAGCTCTCGGATTAATTTACAGTTTCTATGCTCCGTCTAAGATGCACCGAGTCGTGAACAAATTAAAATCCCCCCCAGTGTTTAGCTGCAACGCTCCTTACCGTTTAAGGTACCGTGCGTCATCCTGCATTTTCTCCTGCTTTATGATTCTAGGTTTTAAATTATTATAAAATAATCTCCTAACATTGGAGAGATTCCACCGATAAATCACGACTTATGAATCCTACAGCGGCCCAGTAATATCGCCTTTTACATAGAAAACACCTCCTTGGTTTCCTTCTTGTTTTTCTTTTTTTATGGCGGTTGGCAAGCAACTTATTGATGTTCATTACCGCCACCTACTGGAATGGGGTGTGGATCGGGATACCCATGGGGATACCGCTTCTTCATCTTCTTCTATGTTGAATGGCGGATTGCAAACAGCTTATAGGTGCATACCGCCACCTAGTGTACACGAGTGTGTAGCTCTATAGTTCCACCAACTATATTCTATTTTGTGTTATGTGAAAAAACAAAAACAAGGCTTTATAAACAACCAAATTTTCTTCCCTACCTCAATCTGTCCCTAAAAGTGATGGGGATGCTATATAAATTCTCCCACAAAAAAATTATAATGATTAAGTTCTTATATTCTTTCTATCGATTTCATTCTCTTAAGGTGATTCATTAAATTAAAAAAAAAAAACATTCAGAAGTAGAAAGTTTGTTCAAAATATGTTTTATATTTAATTGCAATTTATTTTCTTGACTAATTCCCTTCTCTCAACAGAATGCTTAGAACAGACTAACAAAACATGTTTTACTGTCTCTTCTTGAAAACAAAGAAAATCACAATTTCCTGTTGGATGTTTTCCCATTTTAAATAATGTGCTATTTAACCTTGTATGATCAAAACCTTAATGTGGATATAATGGTTTCCTCATTTCTATTTCTTCCTGTTCTCCTCATCGTACAAACTTTTCTTTGAATACTGTAAAGCCACCTTCCAGTTCTATCCTCTTCCCGCTGCTTTTGCCATCTTTCCTTAACCTTTTGTTTAATAATAGATTTAATTTCTTCTTTACTAAATGGTATCATTATATCAATATAACTATTTTTTGTAGCTTGTTTTGCATATTTATCTGCCAACTAATTTCCTTTTACTCCTTTATGTGATGGTATCCATGTAAAAATAACTATTAAACCCATTGCCTGAATTCTACTTATAAAAAAATTAATCTCTAAGAAAAGGTCTGGTCTACTAATAGAATGATTATTTAATATTGAATATAATGATGAACTTGAATCAGAACATAGTATATTTATTGCAGGACAAACTTCCTTAATCCATTCAAAAGCCAAAATGATTCCCATTATCTCCCCTGCATAAACTGATAATTCATCAGTAATTCTTTTACAGTTTTTTAATACTGAATTCTGGAACAAATGACACACCTTGGTTTTCTTCTGGTGAAATCCAACATTAAAGAAATGCTACTGCCTCCTACTGTACAGGACGCAGCAAGACTGGAAACCAGCAATCAGTAATGCCAAATTATAACCATCAAATATATTTTAAATACATGTTTACAGTTTTAATGTCTTTTATGTTTTGCAAGTCATAGATGTCTATCATAGTCAGAGTTCTCTACCTTCAAAATTACTCTACTCTCATTTTTCACAAATCGATACCACAGTTGAGCTCGGGGTGAGAACACAGAATTGGTAAAGTTTAAATGAACCTACTAGTGCAAACAACCTGTTGCTGCAGTGATGAGCCTCTTTCATTATTTGCAGCACTCTTTCTGTGACGGAAGCTGAAAAGTTTGGGAATCACAGCTATAAAGAACTTTATAATAACCAAATTAAAACAACAACAAAAACTTTCCCAGAGACAGAAATCACTGACAGTGTATTTTATTGAAGTATAATGGTAGGATCTTAATAAGCAGTAGTTAATTACAGACTTCTTCAAATCCCCTCTTTACACATAGCTTCTTCTAAATGCAGCCATAATTTACAATTTGCAGCTGGAAAGTTTAGTGTTTTTATTATTTATTCCATGGATCTGAGTTTCTTCTCCCCTAAACCTCTCCTTTTGTTCTCTCTTATGTAACCGCTCCATCCTCTTCCCTCCTCCTTCATCTTTAGTCTTCCTCTACTCCACCTCCCCTGCATCATCTTCATCATCGGCACATGCACTGAACTCCTTTTCAGGTAGGAGGCCGTATTCATTCAGAAATGCCTCCACGTCTGTTGCAAAGAACTCTTCATTGAAGTTTTTAGTGATGGCCAAGAAATTTCCCAGTAATTCACCAGCCTTGTAAACCAACAGTGTAGGAAGAACCTGGATAGGCAAACAAGGACATAAAAAAATTAGAAGTGACAGCCTCTGAGGCAGACTTCAAAAGTAATGGTTTATGATTTTTTTCCCAACCACTAAAGCATCATATGATTAGTGAATTTATTGGCGAGTGTATTTCAAACTGACTTTACTTGATAAAGCAACACAAAATAGTAAAGTAGTAGTTATGAGTAGAAGAAGGGGATGTGTTCCTCTGTATTTAGGTAACCATATTTGTAGCCAGTTATGTTTAAAAACCACCTCGGTGGTTTATGTATTTCAATGACCCTTTATTGCTTGTATTTCTGCTTATCGCATAATAAATGTGTTTTTCCCATCAAAGTCATTAACATTTTTCTACAAGCAATATGGGAGATACAGTGAATACATGCAGGAAGGCTTTTTCCCGCTTAGATGAAACCAAAACTGAACTTTGAAGTCTACATAAATCACAACATGTGTCGTGGATCACAATGAGCACACCATCAGCACATGACGTTTAGTTTGTGGTAGCATCTCAGGGACCGGAAGCAGTAGACATTCGATGAGCATATGGATAAATCTATTTACCCAGCAATCCTTGGAATCAGCACTTGTAATTACAGCTAAACTTCAACATATAGCCGAAAAACAACCATAAATGAAGTAAACAGCAACCGTACAAAGAGTGCTACAACTGAATAGTTCAAATTAAATCATATTCAGATGAAAACTGTGAAGAATGATGTTCATAATTTCTTTCTGTCCAATCTTAGGGAATTTAAACTGTAAAGATGGAGGTAGAAATATAAATTTTTAGATGCGCTAAGTGGGTAGAGACATATCTGCAGGCGTAAACTGCAGGAAAATAGAATGAATGTGAATGTGCATGATTGATTTTTCATTTTATAAATAGAGCATTTAAAAAAATCATGCATCATCTTCATTTATTCTGAACCATGCAGAAGAGTGTGTTGGTTGATTTTATAAAATACCAATAAAATCTACTTAAGTTTGTTGTTGCAACATAACAGTTTGAGAAAGTATTTAGAGGAATACTTTTGAAAGGCACTGTAAGTTTACACATAATCAACTCAGTAAGAGAGCATTTTTAGAGAACACTACTTCCCCTTTATTAGAGATTATTGTAGCAATCTGATCTACTATTGTTTGTATAATCTAAAAAAATTATTGCTTTTCTTTTGTTTTATTTTTGGTGAACTAACCTCAGATGAGAAACGCTCTGCAGCACCTGTTGCCACAGCATCAATGCGACAAAACTTCACAGTGGGGTATTCGGTAGCCAGACAGTCCAGACAGGAGTTCATCTGCTCACAGCCTGTCAAAGGATGCATGTATTTAAAAAGGTTTTCAAGTACGACATAATGATCAAGGGGACTGTGCTACAATGAGAAAGCAAGCTCTTTAATTTCCACCCAGACCTTTGACACCATGCTGGTAGATGTGGACCACCACAGGGGTCAAATGATGCTCCTTTTCTATCACCTCCAGGAAAGCTTCTCCACTCTCCAGCTCGTGCACGCATTCAAACTTGGGACCAAAGCTCAGGCGCTCGTGCATTTCTTGCATGCACTGTTTTCTGTAGCGTTTTAGGCAACGCTCATCCTCGTTTTGGATGAGCTCGTACTCCTGAGCGCTCATCTGCAGTTAAAGACACATATCATTTATAAATACATGTATTTATAGTGAGCAATTGTGTCTTAGGGAGTCACGCTTTCATATACCTTTCTGTTCTGCCTTTCCTTGTCATCATCTCGTGGATTAGACATTTGTCTAAGCAGTTCTCTCTTTCTCTGAGGGACATTCTGGTCCACACTGTCCAGCTTGTATCTACGCCAGTCATTAATTACACCTTTCGGGCCTGGAGGCACACAAATATATAGTAACCCAATCATGATGTCAAACAGACATGCAAAGACTCAAACGTTGGCAATTATTATAAAACATCTGCATGCTTTTACATCTTAAAGCACACAACTGTTTAAAAAAACTGAAGTCTCTGCAGCAGTTATGAAAGTTGATCAGAAACCAAATTGAAAATAAAACATTACAAAAATGTATGTGGAACCCAACCAAATCATAGGATAACCAATACAATTTCTCAATGATCCAGAGATCTTCTATTTTTGCATATGTGTCTTGCACCATAAAAAAAACAGCTGGGTTTAATGTTGCCTAGCATTAAAATCATTAGCATTTACTCATTTACTCTGTTGTCTGCTGGGCCCCTGGCAGCGCTGAGTGGGACAGAAAGAGACTGAACAAACTAGTGGGAAAGGCCGCTTCTGTCCTAGGCTTCACTCTGGACTCAGTGGAGGAAGTGGCTGAGAGGAGGGTGCTGTTCAAGCTTACATCCATCATGGAAAACACCTTCTACCCTCTGCACCAGACTGTAGAGGAGCTGAGCAGCTCCTTTAGTCAAAGACCTTTATTGCGCTACAGCAGATCATTCATCCCTGCTGCAACCAGACTCTACAACGCGACACTACAAAGGCAATAACTTGTGCAATGTATAATGTGCAATTACTATTTGATATCCTGTGCAATAACCTGTTTCTCTATATTTGACACCCAGTGCAATAACTATATATATAAATATCAATCTATATAAATACCCATGTAAACACCCTGTGCAATAATCCTGTATAATAATCCTGTTATAAAAATAAAAAAAAGCTGTCATATGTGGATGCACTCTATATACTGTATACATTCCATGCACCTTTTTCTTCCTTTGACACATTCTTCTTCTTTGACTATTATAACTGATGTAGCGAGTACATTTCTCCACTAGAGGACACAATGGTATAAAGGTGAATTCATTCATAAGTAAAGTCATCTTTTTCATGCTTATCTCAGCAGGATTTGAACTTATCTAATGTATCTCTGACCTGTGAAATTTGCAGGAAGCTCCTCTTCTTCCTGGTTTACAGACGACATCCTTCAGCAAACCTGCAATCAAATCAAACAGCAAATTGTGTGAATTAAATCCCAGTCAATGCAGCCAACACCTTAGGGCAGCACAATGGCTGGAATGTTTACTTTAGGTGTTTATATTAGATCGTGTTAACCTCACTACTGCATACAACACTTCATTGCTGGACTGCAAGTATACAACCCAAACAAACAAACAAAAAATACTATATGATTAAAACATGAATATTATAAATTAAAACATGAATGTTATAAATAAAACCAAAAATAAAAACATTAAAGTGGGAAATACAAACAAAAACATTACTGAACTGTTGAAAAAAAAAACAAAAAAGCTGTAAATGTAAATTATGTAAATTAAATGTAAAACTGTAAATTATGTCACAAACTCTGCATTACACTGATAACACCAAACCAAAAATACTGCATATTTGCACCATATATATTGATGCATATCAATTCCTTTTTTTACATCAGGTTTTTTCTCCCACATTGTTTACATTTGCTCATTGCTGCACTTTATGGAATGTAAATATTCATTTAATGTCTGAAAGCTGTACTACCAAAAATGTAATTTTGTATACACAGTTACAATAAAAGTTGTCTAAGTTTAAGACACATTTTATTTAGATCATATATAAAGTAGAAAGTAAATAAACATAAAGTCATATACATGTATAACAAGTATACACAAAGGTTTTGTAAAGATATTATTTGTCAAAGCAGTTTTTCATCTTCTTATCTTGGATTCCCTTTTAAATAAATGTGTCATAAAGGTTATACCCCAAAAGCATAATAAATAAATTCCCTTTGTCTTAATCTGCTAAATAAAAATTGCATTCACTTGATTATATTGATTGTAAAGCCTGTTGTAAAATAATATATCCTTTGCTACTTTCAGTGCAAGGATTATGCAAATGAAATACTCATATACCATTTTGTACTAGTAGGTTATTGAAAATATACGCAATAAAGTAAAATAAAATAAAGCAAACTAAGACAAACAATCCTGTTGTCACAAACAGTTACTGAGAACCAGGCTGAGGTTTACTTATCAGATTAGTCTGAGATTATCAGGGGTATGACGGGCACACATTCTGGGGACATCTTCTTATGCTCTACATTATAACATGCAATTCAAGTTTATGTTTTTAATATGAAGATTGTTTTTCTCCTATGATCAAATCACTGCATATGAAATGATTTTACTGCATCAGATCAAACAAAATATTCTCATGCCACTGTGAGTTTATGTATGAATGAATTAAGCTTTTGCTGTTCCCTGAATAGTAACCTTTTTCACATACAGTGAAGTCATGTCTCCTTAACGGCTAAACATTTTATGAAAGTTCTTCCGTGAACAAAAACTTTCTAGAGCATTATTAAACTATTTTAAAAATGAAGACACAATGAAAGCTACTGATGCAACTGCACTATCATTGATTATAAGTCCCTAATCTGCGTCAGTCATAAAACTGGCAAAGCCAATTAGTTTGAAGGATTTTGTCCATGCAACAGTTTCTAAACCATTGGTCTAAAATTAACGTCGACCGAGCCAGAATATTTTCAATGAATTAAAAACCAAATCAATAAATTTGAGAGCATCTAAACATTATGCATGCAACTTAAATTTACATGTGCAACTAAAATGAAATATGTTTATTTCTGCACAATAAACAACTGATACAAAATAAACTGTGCAAAAGAAAAAAGTGATGCTAAATGTAATTATCATAACTCAAACAATGAAAACAGTTTAAAATAAAACATGCAGCTCAGGTTTTAATATAGAAGCAGTCCCACAAATGTTATAAAATCCAAACTACAAGCTGGTGAATATGGATAAACAGTTCTAATATAACTTACTTTTTGTTAAATGGTCTTTGTCTGTTGAGTCAGTTTCTTTTCTCCACTCAGTCCAAGAATTTACTGAGGAGAGAAGGGAGAACCAGGCTGATAAGAGGGTGGGGACAGAGATGAGTGAATAAGCTTTCTCTGCCCGTCATCTTTATCATCCCTGTTGCTGTAATGTAGAAATCTCTGATTAGACACCATACAAGTGCAGTGTTTTGAATCTATTAGTTGATCTTATTTTTTATATCAAAAGATAAAAGAAAGTAGGACAGAGTTATGGCCAGTCTGCAGATTTTTTTTTCAAGAATAAAGTCGTAATATTATGAGAATAAAGTCATAAAAATATATGAAAATAAAGTTGTATTTTATGACAACTCTTACAAGAAGCACTTTCTTCCTTAAAATGAGGAATGTCGAGCATCATGTGAAATTACACTTTGGCATATGTCACAAATAAGGAAATCTTTTAGAACACAAGCTTCTCATAATATTACGACTTTATTCTCAAAATATACGACTTTATTCTCATAATATTATGACTTTATTCTTATAATATTACGACTTTATTCTCGTAATGTTACGACTTTATTCTCGTAATATTACAACTTTATTCTTATAATATTGCGACTTTATTCTCGTAATATTACGACTTTATTCTTATAATATTACAACTTTATTCTCGTTATATTACAACTTTATTCTTGTAATGTTACGGCTTTATTCTCGTAATATTACAACTTTATTCTTATAATATTATGACTTTATTCTCATAATATTACGACTTTATTCTCGTTATATTATGACTTTCTTCTTATAATATTAGAACTTTATTCTCGTAATGTTACGACTTTATTTTCATAATATTACGACTTTATTCCTTATAATATTACGAATTTATTCTTATAATATTAGGACTTTATTATCGTAGTTACGAAATTATTTTCATAATATTACGACTTTATTCTTATAATATTACGACTTTATTCTCTTAATGTTACGACTTTATTCTTATAATATTACGACTTTATTCTCATAATGTTACGAATTTATTCTCATAATATTACAACTTTATTCTCGTAATGTTATGACTTTATTCTCATAATATTACGACTTTATTCTTATATTACGACTTTATTCTTACAATATTACGACTTTATTCTCGTAATATTACGACTTTATTCTTGTAATGTTAAGACTTTATTCTCATCATATTACGACTTTATTCTCGTAATGTTAGGACTTTATTCTCATAACATTACGACTTTATTCTTATCTAGTTCCATTAGTCTGTTTACCCTTTGGAGGATCTCAAACAAAAAATGCCCGTTTAAGGTCATGACTTGGACTAGGCCACAAAAAATCGACCCCATACTTTTTTTCAAGCCACTCAGCCATTCAGAGGTGAACTTTCTGGTTTGATTCAGATAAATGTCCCATCTTATAACACACGCTATATAAGGCTCCAAATCTGGTGCTAAGGGGACACATCCTTTCTAAAAAATAATACTTTTGTAATCATCTGGGAATGTTTTGGGGCTCATGAAGACGTATTTTCACCAGCTCTCTCTCTTTTATTTTGTCTTTATGCTGTTTTTGTTATTTTTTTTCTCCACCCACTATGTTTACCTGTTGATCCTTGTAGGGAGTAAAGGGTGGTCTGCTATTAGGTTAGAGGAGGGTACACTATGCATATAAATCCCCTCACAGTACTACCAGAGGTAGACAAAGTACTCAAAAGTAGTACTTGAACAAAAGTATTTATACTTATAATCAAATCCTACTCAACTAAAAAATAAGTTACTCAGTCAAACACCTACTCAAGTTAAAGTATTGAAGTACTCACTTTTGAAAATACGTAAGTATTCAAAAGTACATGGATTTAAAAGTACTTCAGTATTCAAAAATACAAATAAATACTCATTTCTAATATCAGTACATTTCTGTGTAATTTTCAGTACCATGTAACTTTCAGAAACCACCTGATGTATTGGTGCATAGAGCCACTCTGTTACAAATGCTACACAACTTGTAAAGAACTTCAGCATCAAAATGCCACAGAAAATTGTATTAAATGCAGTGGGGTGAAAGTAAAGTAAAGATACTCAAAATAATTACTTAAGTACAGTAATCAAATAGATGTTCTTTGTTACTTTCCACATTTAAACAGAAACGATAGCCATGTAAAAAAAAAAAAAAAAAAAAAACATGTTTTATTCTTATTTTAAAATTTAAATTACAAGCCGGCCTTGATCCACCAGAAAGGATGGACTCCATGTGATCACCATGGATCTAAAACGGAAACAGAAATGCTTTTATTTTGAAGGTCACTTAATTGGCCTGCTAATCACTGCTCTTCAGCCTCAGTCAATGAAATATTTCAGTTAACAAAAAAGGATAATTTAAGAACATTTTTAACAACACATGGAATTCTAAATATTTGTTGAGGGACTAAACAAGGAAGTACAAAAGTTTGACTGAGGCTGGGCAAGCTCTAGCGTCAGAGAATTTGCTAGCTAAACTGCAAAAGCAACGTGGACTTTTTTTTTTCCAAAGCTCTTTTATCAAAGCATGCAGGAGTCTGGACCAGTTCTGTTAGATCCATTAATTTGCCACATATGGTAAGCCACAAATATGACAATGGGAGTTTATTGGAGACAGTTTACCGCAGCGAGTGAAACTCCACAGGAGCACCGGAGAAACGAATCGAGGACAGCGCGCGGAACTTGGGGCTTCATCACCTGCAAGAAAACTATTTGGGATTTTTTTTTTTTTTCCAGGCTCTGTGTGAAAGTTTCGATGTGGCTGATACAACCAAGTTACCTAATTATATGTAGATGAACAAGACGGTGGCGGCGCAACTATTAATTAAAGGAACGTTAGTTAGTTATTGCTTGTATTACTGTGTATATTATGTCGTGATAAATTTGAAAGCTATTAGAATGTTTAAAAAGCAGTTTGACAGAGCAGTTTGAATTGATGAAGGTGTTGCATTTAAAGTTTTTCGGAAAAAACAAAAACAAAAAAAAACAGGTCACGTCCCTGGGTGGGCTCGAACCACCAACCTTTCGGTTAACAGCCGAACGCGCTAACCGATTGCGCCACAGAGACGGATATCGCTACAATATTTGTGACGTCAATTTGTCGATCTATCTGTAAGGGGGTATAGCTTGTGTGGTAAATGGGCAGCGATTATAGGTAAAAACATCTGTTTAAACCGGGCACGTGGTAAACAATCCTACCATCTTTGAGTCACAATAATGTTGCGGTATGCCTGAATACTTTTAGCATGCTAACGAGCTAATGTTCGTAGGTCTGCAAACGCTAGAATGTTTGACACCTCTGTTGTTGTACTACTGAGTATCTTCTATTTCCTAATGAGGCGGAGATCTTAAAAAGTGGAACTAAGTGCAGCATTATTAATACATGTCTACATAAAAATTATCACCGTCGGGCTGTTGCGTGTTGAATTTGTCATATTACCCGGATGTGTATTCAGAGCAGAGTGGCGCAGCGGAAGCGTGCTGGGCCCATAACCCAGAGGTCGATGGATCGAAACCATCCTCTGCTATATGTTTTTACCTTTCTTTATCTATAAATCATTTCCATGCAACCCGTTTATTTAATTGATTAGTTGCACGTTATGGAATATTCTAAATATTATTATTTCTATATAAAAAGAATGACACTCTGACAACTCAATGACAAAAAACTTTTGTTTTACAATCTTAGATGAATTTGCTCAGTTTTATTTATTTTACAATGCTAAAAGTGAAATGTGAATGAAACAGAAAAAAATAACAAGTATGTAAGTAGATCGAAAAAAGATAGCTGGGTTCTTTCTTGAAACATTCCGACTCCTCTGCTTATAAGGCTGAGTTTATCTGTAATTCATACTGAAGAAGCCTCTTGGAGAAGAGAAGAAATATTTTAACAAATGTTAGGATTATTTAGATTCATGATGTGTGAATCTGTTAAACCCTAATAATATGTATCAGTTGCGTGTCAGAAATATTGTTTTCCTAAGTAGTTTATCTAATCAGGACAATTCCTCTGTCAGGATAAAAAGTAATCTTCATTATGTACATGGCAAAGACTTGGGAGAGGAATGGATGTCCTGCATGTAAATACATAGTGTATTATTTTGATAAGGCTGGAGCAATCATTACATCATACACAAAAAACACAAAGCTTTCCATAACACAAAGAAGAACCCATCCAAAAGAGTTAATGCAACTTCTTATGCATGTTTCTAGTTGAGATGCATCAAGATATAATTCAGTCTGTCCTGTAGACAGGTTTCCTAGTAGAAGTGATCTAATAGGAAAAGCAACAAAAAAAGCCTTTATAAAAAATACATTCTCCTTTAACCAAATAACAATTAGAAGCAGAAAGTAATGTACAAGTTTTTTTTTTTGTAGTGCAAGATGGATAAAATACCAGTCTTTTGAAGGCTGTATACACTGAAAAAATTATCTAAAAAAAGTAAAAATGTCTTAAAATAAAATTTACCTTTAATTTGAGCAGGTAAATAAGATAATCTGCCAATGGAATTAGTATTACTCATAAAATAAGATAATTAGATAATATGCACTTGAAATATGAAAAAAACAGTTGTTTCTTTCTTATCCTAAATGTAAATTGTCTTGTCTCCCTTACATCTTCAATTCAAGAAGAAATTCACTTATTTTAAGAAAAAAATTACTCATTTAGATCTCTATTTCTTGCTGTGTAGATCAAGAGACTGAAGCACAGGGGTTATTGTAAAAGAAACTACATTTATCATACGACACTAGATGAAAAGCATCTTAGAGGGCTAAATGGATAGAAAATAAACTATAATATTAGGCAACTAAGTGTTTACTGGGCTTTGAGTGTTCTTTTAGCCACAGAGGCCCTGTGGTAGCTCAAGTTATTGAGGACACAACTGTTAGTCAGCACAGATAGCTTGGAGTTCAGAGTTTCTTTACTTTTTCCCCAATAACAATCTCCTCCTTGATCCATCTTTTCTTCTTTCACTCTGTCCTCCTCTTCCACATCCACTTCACTCTCTTCATCACTGCGTTCATCTTTTTCCAGCTGTAGAAAGCAAATATCAAGGGTTAAATAAAAAAAAACCGTTGCTCGTTGACCCTTGAATAGGTTAGAAGTGCTATCCTAAGCTCAGTTATCACTGCTGTTTCTCACCTTGCCTTTAAAAAACTTGTAAACCATGCGTAAGATAAGGCCTGCCCAGAATATATGAAGAGCTTGCAGCACCATCAGCAGGGCGTTAAAAAAGTAGTAGCCAACAAAAGGCTCAAAGACCTCCATGGAAAGAAGCAGGGTGGTACGAATGATCCTGTAAGGAGAAATTATTTAATTAAAATGGTGATAATCCAACTTTTTTAGGTCAATTAACACCACAAAGTACTTAATTGTGAAAAAGAAAATCTTTACATTATTACATTTTAGATGTATTTATTTAATACAAAAAAAAAATTTAAAAATAACTGTGGTGCATACCAACTACACTATGACGATCCACCTAAACCGACAAGCAAGGAGAACATTAATCAGAGAAAGCTCTACATCTCCGGCAGAGAAATGAAAGAGGGCCATTGATGAAGAGGCACAAAGTAAAAGGCATAGTTGAAAGAAAGCCAAAAGACACCCAATTTGTAGTTTGCCAAAAGCCGTGGGGGAGACACCAAATATTCAGGGGAAGATTTTTTGGGACTAGATGAAAACAAAACATCCTTTAGCAGGACAGCAACCCTAAATATACAAACTCTTCATTTGTTGGAAATGCATCGGAAAAGTCTAAACCGCCAAAGGAGAAATATGACTTCAAATGAGAACCATGCTTCCAAAGGAGAACCATGTCTCAAAAGGAGATGCATGAATCCAAAGGGGAAACATGAATCCAAAGGAGAAATATGTCTCCAAAGGAGAAACATAACTTCAAAGGAGAACCATGCTTCCAAAGGAGAACCATGTCTCCAAAGGAAAAAACATGAATCCAAAGAGGAAACATGCGTCCAAAGGAGAACCATGCTTCCAAAGGAGAAATATGTCTCCAAAGGAGAACCATGTTTCAAAAGGAGAACCATGCTTCCAAAGGAGAACCATGTCTCCAAAGGAGAAGCATGAATCCAAAGGAGAAGCATGAATCCAAAGGAGAACCATGCTTCCAAAGGAGAACTATGTCTCCAAAGGAAAAAACATGAATCCAAAGAGGAAACATGCGTCCAAAGGAGAACCATGCTTCCAAAGGAGAATCATGCTTCCAAAGGAGAACCATGTCTCCAACAGAGAACCATGTTTCCAAAGGAGAACCATATTTCCAAAGGAGAACCATGTTTCCAAAGGAGAACCATTCTTCCAAAGGAGAACCATGTCTCCAAAGGAGAACCATGCTTCCAAAGGAGAACCATGTCTCCAAAGGAGAACCATGTTTCCAAAGGAGAACCATGCTTCCAAAGGAGAACCATGTCTCCAACGGAGAACCATGTTTCCAAAGGAGAACCATATTTCCAAAGGAGAACCATGTTTCCAAAGGAGAACCATGCTTCCAAATGAGAACCATGTCTCCAAAGGAGACCCATGCTTCCAAAGGAGAACCATATATCCAAAGGAGAAACATGTCTCCAAAGGAGAAACATGACTCCAAAGGAGAAACTTGCGCCCAAAGGAGAACCATGTCTCCAACGGAGAACCATGTTTCCAACGGAGAACCATCTTTCCAAAGGAGAACCATATTTCCAAAGGAGAACCATGTATTATAGCCAGTTTCACACTGCACTATTTTGCGTTGATCCGTTGCTGCTTGTTATGACGCGCCTGGCGGCTAACGTACCTGTCGATCGCGTGTAAACTTGATTCAAACGATCCTCTTGCAGTACATAAGTTGTTCCAGCCAGATGAACCATTTTGTGCATAAAAAATCATTTATTCCACAATGCACGGCCACAGGGATAACAACGACTCCGCCACAGCGGTCAAAAACTTGTATGCCCTTCCGGATTCAACACCTGTCAATTACCTGTCATCTCTTCATTTGTATACTGGAGCCGACAGCCCCATCTAGTGATCACAAACAAAACAAACAAAAAATAAATAAATAAATAAAAAGAAACAAAAAATACACATATTTGGCTCCAATACCATGCTTCCAAAGGAGAACCATGCTTCCAAAGGAGAACCATGTCTCCAAAGGAGAACCATGCTTCCAAAGGAGAACCGTCCTACCAAAAGAGAACCATGTCTTCAAAGGAGAACCATGTCTCCAAAGAAGAAACTTGCGTCCAAAGGAGAACCATGTTTCCAAAGGAGAAACATGCTTCCAAAGGAGAACCATGTCTCCAAAGGAGAACCATGTTTCCAAAGGAGAACCATGCTTCCAAAAGAGAACCGTGCTACCAAAGGAGAAACATGTCTCCAAAGGAGAAACATGACTCCAAAGGAGAAAATTGTGTCCAAAGGAGAACCATGTTTCCAAAGGAGAACCGTGCTTCCAAAGGAGAACCTTGTTTCCAACGGAGAACCATGCTTCCAAAGGAGAACCTTGTTTCCAAAGGAGAACCTTGTTTCCAAAGGAGAACCGTGCTTCCAAAGGAGAACCTTGTTTCCAAAGGAGAACCATGTCTCCAAAGGAGAACCATGTTTCCAAAGGAGAACCATGCTTCCAAAAGAGAACCGTGCTACCAAAGGAGAAACATGTCTCCAAAGGAGAAACATGACTCCAAAGGAGAAAATTGTGTCCAAAGGAGAACCATGTTTCCAAAGGAGAACCGTGCTTCCAAAGGAGAACCTTGTTTCCAACGGAGAACCATGCTTCCAAAGGAGAACCTTGTTTCCAAAGGAGAACCTTGTTTCCAAAGGAGAACCGTGCTTCCAAAGGAGAACCTTGTTTCCAAAGGAGAACCGTGCTTCCAAAGGAGAACCTTGTTTCCAAAGGAGAACCGTGCTTCCAAAGGAGAACCTTGTTTCCAAAGGAGAAACGTGCTTCCAAAGGAGAACCTTGTTTCCAAAGGAGAACCGGCTTCCAAAGGAGAACCTTGTTTCCAAAGGAGAACCTTGTTTCCAAAGGAGAACCGTGCTTCCAAAGGAGAACCTTGTTTCCAAAGGAGAACCATGCTTCCAAAGGAGAACCTTGTTTCCAAAGGAGAACCTTGTTTCCAAAGGAGAACCGTGCTTCCAAAGGAGAACCTTGTTTCCAAAGGAGAACCATGTTTCCAAAGGAGAAACATGCGTCCCAAGGAGAATAATGCTTCCAAATGAGAACCATGTTTCCAAAGGAGAACCATATTTCCAAAGGAGAACCATGTTTCCAAAGGAGAACCATTCTTCCAAAGGAGAACCATGTCTCCAAAGGAGAACCATGCTTCCAAAGGAGAACCATGTCTCCAAAGGAGAACCATGTTTCCAAAGGAGAACCATGCTTCCAAAGGAGAACCATGTCTCCAACGGAGAACCATGTTTCCAAAGGAGAACCATATTTCCAAAGGAGAACCATGTTTCCAAAGGAGAACCATGCTTCCAAATGAGAACCATGTCTCCAAAGGAGACCCATGCTTCCAAAGGAGAACCATATATCCAAAGGAGAAACATGTCTCCAAAGGAGAAACATGACTCCAAAGGAGAAACTTGCGCCCAAAGGAGAACCATGTCTCCAACGGAGAACCATGTTTCCAACGGAGAACCATGTTTCCAAAGGAGAACCATATTTCCAAAGGAGAACCATGTATTATAGCCAGTTTCACACTGCACTATTTTGCGTTGATCCGTTGCTGCTTGTTATGACGCGCCTGGCGGCTAACGTACCTGTCGATCGCGTGTAAACTTGATTCAAACGATCCTCTTGCAGTACATAAGTTGTTCCAGCCAGATGAACCATTTTGTGCATAAAAAATCATTTATTCCACAATGCACGGCCACAGGGATAACAACGACTCCGCCACAGCGGTCAAAAACTTGTATGCCCTTCCGGATTCAACACCTGTCAATTACCTGTCATCTCTTCATTTGTATACTGGAGCCGACAGCCCCATCTAGTGATCACAAACAAAACAAACAAAAAATAAATAAATAAATAAAAAGAAACAAAAAATACACATATTTGGCTCCAATACCATGCTTCCAAAGGAGAACCATGCTTCCAAAGGAGAACCATGTCTCCAAAGGAGAACCATGCTTCCAAAGGAGAACCGTCCTACCAAAAGAGAACCATGTCTTCAAAGGAGAACCATGTCTCCAAAGAAGAAACTTGCGTCCAAAGGAGAACCATGTTTCCAAAGGAGAAACATGCTTCCAAAGGAGAACCATGTCTCCAAAGGAGAACCATGTTTCCAAAGGAGAACCATGCTTCCAAAAGAGAACCGTGCTACCAAAGGAGAAACATGTCTCCAAAGGAGAAACATGACTCCAAAGGAGAAACTTGTGTCCAAAGGAGAACCATGTTTCCAAAGGAGAACCGTGCTTCCAAAGGAGAACCTTGTTTCCAACGGAGAACCATGCTTCCAAAGGAGAACCTTGTTTCCAAAGGAGAACCTTGTTTCCAAAGGAGAACCGTGCTTCCAAAGGAGAACCTTGTTTCCAAAGGAGAACCGTGCTTCCAAAGGAGAACCTTGTTTCCAAAGGAGAACCGTGCTTCCAAAGGAGAACCTTGTTTCCAAAGGAGAAACGTGCTTCCAAAGGAGAACCTTGTTTCCAAAGGAGAACCGGCTTCCAAAGGAGAACCTTGTTTCCAAAGGAGAACCTTGTTTCCAAAGGAGAACCGTGCTTCCAAAGGAGAACCTTGTTTCCAAAGGAGAACCATGCTTCCAAAGGAGAACCTTGTTTCCAAAGGAGAACCTTGTTTCCAAAGGAGAACCGTGCTTCCAAAGGAGAACCTTGTTTCCAAAGGAGAACCATGTTTCCAAAGGAGAAACATGCGTCCCAAGGAGAATAATGCTTCCAAATGAGAACCATGTTTCCAAAGGAGAACCATGTTTCCAAAGGAGAACCATGTTTCCAAAGGAGAAACACGCCTCAGAAAGAAACACAGCTGTAATTTCAGCAGCGGATGGTTTTAGAATCTATTGAGTGCTGTACACAAACCAACTAGGCTTTTTTATGTTTTTATTATTTTCTTTTCACTTAATAACTCTATACTACTCAGTGTTGGTCTAACACACTATTTCCTAACACAACAAAATGGAATTTGTGTGGACAAAGTTTAAAAAGAAATAAACCTTTTTTCATTGCATTGTAATAGACACAGTTTTCCGTACATGCTAAAGACAAATTCTCACCTGCTGGGGAAAATCACCAGTCGAGTCACAAGGAAAACCACAGCAAACACAACAAACAGAGAGTCACATGTCTTCCTCCAGCCAGTGCCGTAGTTGAACATCTTAGCAGACTGCAGAATCAGCAGAAATAAAAACATTACTAAGTTTATTAACCCTTGAATTTCATGTTAAGTACCGGTAATCAGTGGGGATTAGGAGTGAACAATAATATAGGAGAAAACTAAGAAGACCATCTGAGCTGAAATGAACTCATAGCAGAAGCAGATTTACAAGAACAGATCTCATACTTTAATACTATCAAAATTTAGTATTTAAGTTATTTTATAAACCCTGCACAGTTTAGATTTTATCTGTATTTTTATGCAAAATATCTTTTATACATGCAAACTAAGATATTCATAGACACATCGATTTGAATGGACATTTTTACCGACAAAGAGGTAAAGATTTTTGTATAAGACTTGCTTCTTTTCCAGTGCAGTTACCTCTAACAGTATGTCAGACGAATCATGAAGCAGCATGACCAGGGTGCCGATACGGATGTAGTTGGCACAGTAGGAGAAACTCAGCAGGAAGATAGTCGCCAAATGGTGGATCACCTGTTCCCTAAAATCCTGGTCCAAACATATAGATTGAGCAAGTCAGCATAGAGAAACAGAAATAAGCTTCAAATATCAACAGAAAAATGTAAACTTTTGGTCACTAATTTACAGGTGTGGATGGATGTTTGTGATGGAAGCAGAAATGAAGCGAGTGAGTAGTGAACTGCTAACGCCAGCCTTGTTAGCATCGTGCTAAAATGGCAAATGCAACATGAACCAGTGATGGAACGTTGACATCCTTACCTTCCTTTTAACGTCCACAGAGATCCGCAGGAGCAGAGAGCCATAAAAACCCAACTCCAGCATGTAGTACCAGAAATGAACTCTCTCTAAGGGCTGTAACAGAGAGTCAGTGTCAATTATGTGAAATGTAGCTGTTAACAATTATTTAAATATCTGTTAATACAATTCAAAATCAAATTCTCTTTGTAAGGACTGAAATAAATAAATCATTGAATGTTTGGTATTTATAAAGCATGTTTGATGGTATGTAAGGCTCTATATACATAAAATACATCTAAAGCTTCTTTCCCACTAAAATTAGCGAGTTAAAACGGATTTGTCAAATATTGCCGATTGTTAGACCCGCTAACAATCGACATTTGGCTCCCGTTCCATTAACAAAAAAATCAGGGTCTAGCCCTCTTTCTGAAAAGACGGATTTAAAAACGGATATACTTTGCTATTTTGATGATCACTAAAAAGAGCAACAAAAATACAATAGTTTTCCAGCAAAGATGCATCTGCACATAAATCATTTTATGTGTCGTATTGTAAACATGTCAAGATGCAAGTGAAACGTTAACATGTATTTTTTATAAACTGATGCAAAGTAAGGTTAACCTGAAGTTTTAGTTCAGATTAACATAGAACACATTTTTACGCACACCACTGAGTTTATTCATGAAAAAATAAGTGTCCAAAACATTTTTCCAGACTGATGGAGGTCAATGACTGTTTCTATTCTGTTCTTTCTTTTCGATTAAAGCGAGATGTGTTGGATGTGAGATCTTTTTGCCTACTTCATGTTGTCACAGAGGTTCTGACACGCAAAGAATGATCTGTAATGGAGGAAATCATTTTCACTGCATTGTATCTTATCACTGATTAGACAAAAAGGGTAAAGATGTAACTTTTATCTTTAAATGACAAAAGTGAACTTGCCTTGGGACTACAGACGGAAGCTAGCAATGGCAATTCAGGTTTAAGACATCTCTTCTTTCAGGATTAATCATTTTTGTACACTGTCCCTGTTAAAGGTATAGTGGAGGATTTTGGCAGATTTTTTTAAAAGACCTGCCCTCTCCACTTAAAAAAAAAATCCCTATGCATAACCCTGTACCTGCTTCTGAGAGGGAACGCCTATTAAACGTGTGCAAGAGCATTGATGAGCCCATTTCTCCTTGTGCACGCTCTGTTTAAATGTTGTTGTTCTCATAGCTCATACAAGCTTACTGTGTCCGAATGCCCGTTCTAACCCATAAATACCTCAATAACTATATAGAGAGGGGACTATATAGTGGAATTTGTAGCGAACTAGGTTACCGTTCGGACAGATGATCACTACTTTATGCTAGCATCGAGAGACCATCCTGATCTCGCGAGCTTTCAAGGTTTCACTCGCAGATCAGTCGGGCTACTTTCTGTTAAAGAAAATTTGGAGCAGTTCACCAAACGAACGTCCAATCAGCATTGGCTTTGAGACAGGTTGAGGTGTGACGCAACGAGAAGTGCGACAGTTCAGTCTAAAGAACATGGCAGCTTCAGCCGCTGAAACTAGCATTAGCGTGGATATCGAGCAAGTTTTAATGGAATTACAGAGTATTTCTTCACTGAAAGAAGAGCAAAACACTGCTCTGGAGGCTTTTCTCAGAGGAAAAGATGTTTTTGCTCTTCTCCCGACTGGTTTCGGCAAGAGTTTGATCTATCATTTGGCTTGTGCCTGGCTTGTGGTGGTGTTTTCGTCGTCGCTCTGTTAGAACGTCATATGCTTCGTTGATCTGATTGGTTTATTTGGCCCGTCTATCACCAACATAGGCCAATCAGCTAACCAGTATTTTCGCCCCTTCCCAAAATTACTTCAACGGAAGGTTTCCAGATGGATATGCGGAGCAAATCCAGCAAATCCATCTGGCGGAGTCAGGTTAACTTTATGCTCCCCGTTGGTAACTCCTCCTCCACCGCCCGCTGCCTACAGCATCTTTATTACTAGACGCCGCTGTCTGGTAGCTACAGCCTATGGCGACAGCGGGCCGCTGTGACAGCAAATCTCCTGGCAAAGCATTCCGGGTTATATCTGCCTCTTCTGAGGCCTTTCTGTTTTTCTCATACACTTCGTAGACTCTTTTTCTCTTACGACCATCGGCCATTTTCAAAGGACCACTGTGAGAAATGCGACTTTCAATGACTGGCTGAAACTGGAGCACAACACATATATACGTCTGGGTTCGTATGTGCAGAAAAAGATAGCTAACAGAACAAGTATGTAGGACGGCCTTACGTAAAGATATCACCAGAATGATCGACAATTACGAGGACCACTTATTTTGATGATCCACCCGGAAAAAGACAATCCTCCAATATACCTTTAAGTAAACTAACTAAAAGCTGAAACACCAACATATTAAAACCAGTTTCTTAAACTAGCTGACTAACAATATTGTCGCCAAGTATGATGAACTATCTGTTTTTACCTGAATGGGATAGTGCCTCCAACATTCCCTATGATCCCAGAACCATGGTCTCTGTTCCCAAAAGGACAAGAAAGATGGAGCCAGAGAAGGTTTAAAAGAAACTCACACTCATTTCAAAGCAACAAGATTTCACTTAAAACTCACATTGATTAACGAGGCAAGTCCAGCTATGAATGCTGACAAGTAGAAGAAGAACCTCCAACTGTAAAACAAAAGATTAGAAATTTAGTTTAGGCAGCCTGAGGGTTTGGTGAAAGTGGTTCATTCAGCTGCTGGTTGTGATTCCCTGTTTTTAACTTGTAAACATAATGGCTTCTGTACTTGGGGGAGGATTTCGGTGTGCTTCCTGTGATGTTCAAAGACCTATAGAGGACAGATAACTTGGGACAGGATACGATAAAATGACTCACGCAGCTTCAGCAAACTTCTTGGTTTGACTGGGTCGGTCTTGGTTCCTGCGGATTCTAAACCAGCTCTCGATCTGTCTCTGGGTTTTTCCACATAACGCCATCAAACTGACAAGTTCGCTCTAAAATAGATGGACAAACAGACACATTTTGAGGTTGACCACATTCTAAAACTACTTTTTTCATCTTGCTTTATCAATTGAAAACGGAATGTCTCTGTGAGCGTTACCATGCACCTGCTAACCTTCAGTAACCTTAAAGTGGAAATGAAATAATCAGCCAAACGTACTTCATTTGCAAGCTTGTGTCTTAAAATTATCAATCATTAAATTGCAAATGTGGAAAACATAAACATATGAAAGAAAAAACGTAATGGGTTGTTTGGTTCTGTAGCTACCAGATGAATACTTTGGTAATATCAGCTATACCTCACAACCATAAAAAACAGTTTTGATATAATGGAAGACATTGCATGACATTCAAGAGGTTTCATCCCTCTAAGTTTTATGTGTGACATCAAAAGTTGCTTCACTGCATTTACTTCTGAATATATTTGATAAATGACTCTAAGCAAGAGCTTCAGGTGTGGTGATATATATACTTAAAGGTATTGTGGAGGATATTCGCAAATTTTTGAAAAGACCCAACCTCTCCACTTAAAAGAAAAATGCACATGCACAACCCTTTACCCGCTCCCAATAGGGAATGCCTATTATACGCGTCTGAGAGCATGCACGAGGCCATTTGTCCTTGTGCGCGTTGTGTCTGAGCTTACTTTCCAAATGAAGATATGACACCGGTGTTATGCCGAGAAAAACACTCAAATCTAGGGCATCCATGCATAAGAAATATGGAAACATTAAGAATATGCTTAAAAGTTTTCTTTTAGTTCATATTTTAATCCATTTTCTCATCAGTGTGCGAGACAGGAGGTAATTCTCATCATAACACCTGTAAACCAAAATGGGGACGAGAAAGTAGAACGGCCTTGTATAAACGTATCACCAGAATGATTGACAATTAGGAGGAGAACTTATTTTGATTAACCACCCGGAAAAAGAACATCCTCCACTATACCTTTAAGTGCCTCTATTATCCAGGGGGAAACCATCTTCATGGTGACTATCACTTATAGTCCCATAGGAGCCCTTTTAACCTACCTGTGTGGGCTGCTTGCTCCTGTGAGTGTAAAAGGACTCCAGCGTTGGGGAAGGGGCTGCGCTTGTTTGCACTTTGTTCTTCACCCCCAGACACCTGGCAATAGGGGGGGCCAAAAACCTGCAGACAAGGCACACCAAGAGATTACACAAATGTTGTGGAACATGTAGAATAATAATCCAGAATAATAAACTTACATTTACAGTTAGGTGATTGAAGTTTATTTAAAAATATTTTTTTTGTGTTTTTCTTAACAGCCCAACAGATAGCGGTAAATTACCTCCAAGCTGAACATGGTATTTGTCTTGTAGATGCCTTACTGATGGTTTTCAACGAATGTATTCCAGTTAAACACTGATAAAACATTTTAATTAGTCTGTAAATTCGTCTCTCTTTGCTTCCCTGGAACAACAAACACACCGGGATGTAATTGATCTCCTGGTTTTCACTCTTTAAAGATTTCTGTTGGGTCACTTGAAATGTGTTTCCATTACAATACAAGTTGAAAGGGAAAGCATAGCATGTAATCCCAACTTGTTCAACAATTAACCTTTCCTAGTTTGATCTTTGCATTTTCTAAAGCTTTTTTCTCCTGATAGCACCAAAGCCTGTCGTGTTCAGCTCATACACTTGCTCATATAATCCTCAGAGACTGTACCAGGCATATTCAACATTACGTTGCTAACACTGCTCGCTTTAGTAGAGATATAACTCCTTATTTTCCACACTTCTTTCACATTAATACCAGCAACTTAAATGTATAGTTTTGGTGATTTTATAAAACTGAAAAAACACACAGCAGATCTCAGAAACAAACTAAAATTAAAAAGCTTATGTCATGATTCTGGTGCTGATGGCTGGCTTGACTGCTCATTTCATTCATCTTTCTAGTTCTGCCTTGTTCCTCATCACTGCTCATCTGATCAACCTGCTCCTGCTTCTATTTGAACTCCTTGGTCCCAGCCATCAGTGCCAGATTATTCTTAGGCTTTTGGTGTTGAGAGTTCTCTAGTTTTTTTTTAGTGTTCTGATTGTCTGATCCTGATCCGTTTCTGTATTTGGACCTTTGAGCCTGCCTGCCCCTGTCTGATCTGTTTGTCTGGCCTGTCTTTAGACTCCTGTTGGATTCTTCTGTGGACTGAACCTGGATCTGCTTATTGACTTCACCCTGTGGATTATCCTGCCTTCGTTTGTCAGCTTCTATTTCTTCAAACTGTAAAATCCTTGTAATAAACTAAATTATAATAAAACTAAAATGCTTTCTTTAAACCAAACTACGATGTTCCTATTATATATGGCCAATTTATGTTTGAATATTTTGAAAAAAAAATATGTTGATGGGGTTTTGCATCTAAAGGCTAACTTTTCCCATCTTGGGATGTTTTCCAATCTGGCAGTTTAGGATGGCCGTCTATGGGTAAAAAAAATGTTTTTCTTTAGATTTATGGCCTAAGAGATCAATAGACTTTGGCTTAAATTGGGGAAAATTTCGTATACCCAGGCTTATTATGAAAATTTTTGGAGCTGGAAAACGTGAGTCAGTCACGATGCTGTGTTAGTGGGTGTCTGGGTGGCTTTGTGAAAGTGTGGATGTTACCCAGAAGCAGTCACTGTCGTGTCCATGTTAATAACCAAAGCCAATAAAACAGCGTTATAGAATTCTTGGTAATGGTAATGATAAGTGGGCTGGTGTAGATAACAAAATGCCAGGGCCAAAAATTCAAGTCCAAGCCGGCTGCCCAGTGATCTAAGATGTGCTGTCAGGGGCGGAGCTAGATGGGGGGCCATGGCCACCCTTAGCCAGAGATGGGAAGTAACGAAGTACAAATACTTCGTTACTGTACTCAAGTAGATTTTTCTGATATTTTTACTTTACTTTACTACTTATTTTTATGGCGACTTTTTACTTCTACTCCTTACATTTCTACACAAATATCTGTACTTTCTACTCCTTACATTTTAAAAAATTGGCTCGTTACTTTAGTTTTGAATCATTTCAATGGAGTTACCGTTATTATTTTTCACGTCATCAATGCCAAATTCAATCTAATTGGATGGGAATCTACGTTGCATTTGACGCACCACTACAAGATGAATCGACAGATTCGGCGGTATTCATTCGCGGCAAATCATTGCAGCTTGGTGGCGGTGGCGTTGGCATAGTAGTATGGACGACGAGATGATTGAAAATGAACACAACGGAGATCTAGTCCTATTGGCAGACATCCATTTAAAATGTAGGCAACGGCAGGAAAAAAGTGGTTTCTACTTTTACTTTTATACTTTAAGTAAATTTACAAGCCTGTACTTTGTTACTTTTACTTGAGTAAAGAAGTTTAATCAGTACTTCCACTTTTACCAGAATATTTTTTAACACAAGTATCTGTACTTTTACTCAAGTACGGAAAGTGAGTACTTTTGCCATCTCTGCCCTTAGCCAATCATTGGCCACCCCTACCATTTTTTTCCCTCTAATACAGATCGTGGCAGCAGTAATACTCTCAAGTGAAATATTAAAAATATAAAAAATCTTTATATATTAGCAATTACTTGACAACAAAAACACTGTGGTTAACGTGGTTATGCACATCAATATACTACATTAAAGATGATAAATGCAGATTTCACTCTCTTTTCAGAACTAGATTTTGGCTTATGGGGTAAAGAAAAAATTATGTGTTTCTGCAAGTCATCTAGGAGTGTTCAGTGAAATCATAGATAAATAACTATTTTAATAAAAACTTAATAAATAATCAATTTATGTGGATATTAGTACTTGTAAATATCAATTTATGCAGAATGATTATTGATAAAAGTAGATAAGTAATGAAAATGGAAAAGATGTTTGCCCCAGAACTCAAACCTGAAAAAACTTGATACACTATATTAGAAAGAAACATGGATGTTTAAATATATGCATCTATTTGTTTGGAAAGGCTGTAGGAAAGGATAGTTTGTATGTGGATGTTTTGCTTGTTAATTTTCCTGTTGGATCAGTGTAGATTGACCATGAGGTTCTGGCGTGGATCCACTTTCGGCCACCCCTAAGTGTACATTGGTTAGTACATGGCCACCCTTATAAAAAGGTTCTGGCTACACTTCTGTGTGCTGTACCTCTCAAACACACAACGAACTGCAACAAAGCCCAGAGCCAGGGGCAAAGCGATGAGGAGATCTTTGGGATGAGGTCGCTCCGAGGCTGGCAGCTTCTCCAGGTCTTTCCAGGTCACACCAGGAGGAAGCCAGTACTCCTGCCTCCACAGGTCCGGAAGTAGGTCCATTTTTTATCTTTTCTTTCCCCTGCAGACCAACAGAATGAGAAAGGGCGTTCAGAGAAGCCCAACAAGCAAACATGACTTTATCCTGGTGTTAGGCAGATAATTTGCCTCAAAGGTCACCTTCACTGTGCCCAGGTGGGATGCCACTCTGGTAAAATCAAATTCAATACTACAACTGTAATGTTAAGTTGCATACATCGGCGTCGCCAGACCCCATTTACTGGGGCACGTGCCCCAGTATAAATGAGCTGTGCCCCAGTATAAATCTCATGAATATTTGCAACAGTATTACATTTTTTAATGCATCAATTTAGATAATTCCAACGCGCAGCAAGTGTGTTGTTAACTCCAAATTGAGGATGAATTAGCGCCCCCACGTCAGCGCATGTCACTGCATGAACTGCAGGTAAACTAACACACTGCTCTCAACTGTTTTGGATGGGACACTGTGCGGCCGCGACGCATTTTTAGTTCTGGTAATGTTTCTTACCTGTCAATTTTAATATTTTCCCAGTGAAACCACATGATTTATAGGCTACTAACTGAAAATGACTGCATTGGTTTGTAGATGGATATCAGGAAATTCCTCACACGAAGCAGAGACAGGGAAGCAGTAAAACAAGATGAGAGAGAGGGAGGTAAGGTCCCGTGATGAATTAGTGATTTAAGCTAAGCAGTTACATTAGGGACGTTATAAGCAATATGATTGATATTTACATAATTATAGATTTACGTTTTTTTAATGTTTGCTGTAGAGGATGAGAATGACGGTGCTGGAGTAGGAAAGGGAGGATGAGGCGAGACTGACAGGCAAGGGACAGGTGAGAGACAGGAGATACAGGACCATGAAGGTGATGAGGGAGCAACAACCAGCCTCCACAAATAAGAAGGGGACATTAGTGACTTAGGGGGAAAGCATGATGGTCCTAAACAAGTGAAGTTGTCCCACTATCCCCAGCACAAATTAGGAGTAAAAAAACGTTTGTTTAATTCAAAATGGTTTGAAAGCTTTTTATGATTGAAAAAGAAAGCCTTGTCATCAAGGATATGCAGTGTGTTTTCAACTTGCTTGATAACATCATATTCCCAAGACTAACACAGGTCATCCAGATCTCCCTCACAATCCCAGTCAAAAGCTGTAGTTATGAAAGGTCATTCAGTGTGTTGAGACAACCCAGGTTGAGAAAGCTCCACACTTGGCCAAGGTACTCAATGGGACAAGACAGGCTCCATCATCTTGCTATTTTATCAGTTGAAAAGGAAGAACTTTCTAAGCTGAGTCACAGTCAAGTGATTGACCGCTTTGCAAAAATGAAAAATAGGAGGTACACTTTAATGCTCAAAAAATTAACTCATCCTGAACTTAGTTCAGGATGAGTTAACATTTCCCCTGAACTAAAACTCTGAAACCTAGAAATTAATGATTACTATAGAATGTGTATAAGGAAACGTTTTATTTTTAAAGTTGGTAATGTCTTATTTTTTATAGCTGCAATGTTGAAAATGTTCATGTTTGTTAAAACAAATATGCTCTTACACTTATTAATATCTCAACTGGTAATTTTGGTTGGAATGTATCAGGGTTGGGCAGTGTGCTTGTCTGTATTTGTGTATGGAAGGAGGGGCATATGCGGTAGGGGGTCAGTGCCCCAGTAAAGCTTTGTGCCTAGCAACGCCCCTGGTTGCATATATGTGAATTTCATCTTAACCAAGCTAAAAAAATAAAATAAAATCAGCTCCAAAGCGTAACTGAATAGGGTTAGGTTTAACCCTAACACTATAATAAAGATAAATGTAAAGGACACAATGTTCCAAAACATAAAATTGTAGTAAATAAAAAACAAAATGTAAACAAAAAGAAGTGAGAACTAACCATCTGATCAGACTTCTAAATAAAGAGCAGTGAGGCTGCAGCAGAAAACACTGTATTCATTGTTACAGTAACAGAGTGGGGAAGCCGTGCAGAGAGAGACGGCCTGAGAGAGCAGAGCCTCACCTGTCAGCGAAAGGATCAGATCTATCGATGTTCTGCTCAAACCTGCAGACAGGAGGACAATAACACAAATGAGGCGGATATCTGGTCGGGTCTCTGTGGCACAGGCTGCGGAAGGATGCGCCTCAGTGCGGCTGTAGACTCCAGGAGTGCAGACACATCAGTCAAGCTTGACAGGATGACAGGAAGTGGGGGGGTCTTTTCAAAATAAAACACCGATTATCTGTTTGGATCTGCAAAAGGGAAGCGAGGTGGCAAAAGAGGTTTCTTTACAGAGAGGAAAGCAGAAAATGATTTGTATTTACAACACCAATAGAAGCACTGTATATCTTTAGCAGGGGCGGAGCTAGATGGGGGGCCACATTGGCCACCAGAGGCGTAGTCAGAAATTTTTGATAAGGGCGGCCAGGCTATAACCAATGTAAACTGAGGGGTGGCTAAAAGCGGATAGGCACCAGAACCTCAGGGTTAAGCCAAAGATAAGACAAACTACACTTTCCTTCAACCTTTGCTAACAAATAGACACATATATTTAAACATCTGTGCTTTTAAGATAAAAGGTATAGTGGATACAATTATTCCAGGTTTGAGTTCTGGGGCGAACATATTTTCCATTGTTATTACTTACCTACTTGTATCAATAATCATTCTGCATAAGATTGATATTTGCAAGTACTAATATCGACATAAATTGATTATTTATTAAGTTTTTTATTGAAATAGTTATTTATCTATGATTTCACTGTAGACTCCTAGATGACTTGCAGAAACACATCATTTTCTCTTTAACCCATAAAAAACAAAATCTAGTTCTGAAAAGGGCATGAATTCTGTACTTATCATCTTTAATGTTACTATATTGATGTGTATAATTAACAACAGTGTTTTTGTTGTCAAGAAATTATAAATACATGAAAAAATAGTAAGTAATACATGAAAAATTAAAATAAATATTCCACTTGAGAGTATTACTGCTGCCACCATCTGTATTAGAGGGGGAAGAATGTTAGGGGTGGCCACAGGGGTGGCTAAGGGTGGCAGTGGCCACCCCTGGCCCCCCATCTAGCTCCGCCCCTGTTGGCCACCCCTACCATTTTTTCCCTTCTAATACAGATGGTGGCAGCAGTAATACTCTCACGTGGAATATTAACAATATTAAAAATCTTCATATATTAGCAATTACTTGTCAAAAAAACACTCTGGTTAACGTCGTTATGCACATCAGTATACGAACATTAAAGATGATAAACACAGAATTCATACTCTTTTCCAAACTAGATTTTGTCTTATGGGGTAAAGAAAAAATCATGTGTTTCTGCAAGTCTTCAGGGAGTCTTCAGTGAAATCACAGATAACTATTTTAATAAAAACCCTAATAACTAATCAATTTGTGTACATATTAGTACTTGTACATATCAGTTTTATACAGAAAGATTTATTTGATAAAAGTAGGTAAGTAATGACAATGGAAAAGATGTTCGCCCCAGAACTCAAACCTGAAACAATTTTGTATCCACTATACCTTTTATCTAGAAAGCATGGATGTTTAAATATATGCATCTATTTGTCTGGTGAGGCAGAAGGAAAGGATAGTTTTTCTTAATATGGACGTTGTGCTGTGTACATTGCTTACTGCCTGGCCACTATTATAAAAAGGTTCTGGCTACACCTCTAATCTTTAGAGTCAAACCAGAGTAATATAGTTAAAGTAGTATTTTAACACACCATTTTTCTACTTTGTTATAACCACCGCTATATTTTGGCTCCCCAATTTAGATGTAAGTGGGTTTATTTTAGAAAAAAAAAATTGTGCTTAAATTAAATATGAATGGAATTTTTTTATATATTTTTTTTTTTGATACAATTTGAAAAACGTCTTGTGCATTTATCTCTGATGCCCCTAAATGAAATCCGATGCAACCAAGCCCTTGTCTTAGAAAACAGCCCAGTGGTGTTTAAATCACATAAGATAATAAAAATAAAAATACCTGATCTTTGAAGGCCTCAGATGTTTGTTAAAGAACAAATACCTTCATGAAGACCGAGCAGCACACCAGACAGGACACTGTTCACACATAATCAAAATCTTAAAAGAGTGTAAAGATGCAAAGACATGCCTGGTTATCTGAGCTGATGGGAGGAGCAAGGACAGCAGTAACCACAACTCACATTCTAAACATGTGGAAGAGGATGTTCTGGTCACATGGGCTAACATTTCATCAACAACATTGATAACACAGATATACTGTTATTTATAGGTCTTCACAAACATTTAACAGATTTTAAAAAGTGTGTGGTTTTGGTTATACTTAATCGTTCTACAATATTACAGCTGGTAAAACATAAATTAGGGTTAGATTGTAAATATCGCCAAAAAAATTGGTATAAATTATAATTAATAAATCCAATCCAATATTGGCCAGTTTATCTAGTTGTTGGTTTTCCCTGATTTATTGTCTTACAATTCTTTAAAAAACTTTTAAATCAACTAAAAGTTGGATGAACAGCTTTCTGAGGCCTGGTTCTGTGTACTAAATTACTTATTGTAAAGCATAACTGTTCAGTGGATGTTACTGTTTTGGGTTTGATCTTTAACATATGCAAATAAATGAAGATGGGACCAAAGAAAAAAAATCTACCAAATTAGTTTTAGAATAAAACAACTCTACCAAATATAAGGTGTTCACAGACATCTGCTTTTCTAGCAGCTCAGAGACTAGTCCTTTAATTAGCTCAAACATTAATGTATTTCATTGAGATTTTAAATGAGTAACTAATGCAAACTGTAGTGATGCACAGTTGGAAGAAAGAGAGACAATGGTAGAGGAATACACTAAAAAGTGGGCCGTGTTTTATAACCAGTCAGTCTCAGTGAAGTTTGTTAAAAATTCCTTGGGGCTATTCTTCCACCAGCTTTGCACATCAAGAGTCTGAGATTTGGCTCCATTGGGGCAAAAGTGAGCGTTGATTTTTCCGATCCTGTCACTCTGTCATGATTTGATTTAGACATGGACTAAAATATGGATTTGTTCTGCAACCTTTCAAATTTTAGCTGTTGGTCGATATCTGTAAGTTCACGAGGATCTATTTTCTGCCATGCAAAGTATAGGGAAATACACCTTTGCTTTTTCTAAAAATAAAAACACAGCACAGATGCTCTCTTTCAGCCCTGTGTGAACTAGGAAGGTAGGGTGTTCTCCTACCTGCACTGAAAAACAGAAGCATGATTTGCATGTTTCTGGGTGTGAACTGAACTTCTCTTTCTGTTTGTCAGCGCTGTTGTAAGGGGAGATCTATTCAAATAGATGGCTCTGTCTGCTTTAGATGTCTTTTTTTCCCTGAAGCGACAAACACAGAGATACTTCACTGCTCAGGGATCAGGTTTCAGACATATGGAAATACGGCCTTCATATCAGCCTGGCGGTCAGCTAGACTAAGGTCATCATTTCCTCTTTTTTTTTTTTTATCTTGGCTGATTGTTTATTGTTTGTGTGCATAAGGGAACTGGACACCCTTTTTTTGTTTCTTTGTCAGGGAAATAACTCATCAGAAACCAGCGAAGAAAAGTGGGTCTTGTTCAGGAGCAGACTAATGAGGAGCTGGGGTTCCAACCATTTGACAAACTGAACCAAAAAAAGAGCCGCTTCAGTCCCCATAACAAAGTCTGACTGGAGTCTTTGTTCTAAATATGTAATGACTTGTAATAATTTTAATATGTTTCATTTTCATGGTAAGAAACAGCCTGTAAATTATTATTATTATCAAGAGGAGCGTGACTGTTAGAGGCATAAGGGTAAAATGAAATTGTTCTGTATTATAGTTTTATTGGCAGTTCAGATGAAAAGATGTTTATTCATTTCTTATGTCCTCATTTACTTAATGCTCAGGTCAATGAAATGTTTCAACTTAAAACTACTTGAAATAGGAATTAGGGTAAGGGCTTTTAATTGAACATTTACATGATAGATATGTACATTTTGAAAATGTAAGCTTGATGCGTCAAGATCTTCAAACTCATATTATAATATCCCTAGTGGAATAGAAACTACAGATTTCTGTGTCTTTTTGTTGTTGTTTTTTGGCACAAACAGCACCATCTGATGGTGAATCCAACACTGACATTGATCCCATATCAGGCTGCAGTCTTCCCCACAAATATTCACACCACTAGATTATATATCCAAAAAGGTTTGCTTTTATATCCATCTATATTACTATCTCCCAAAAGTTAAATGGAAACCAACCAAAGCATTTGTTATTTTTTTCTACATGAGCCGTGGTTTCTATTAACTTTGAAGGAACTTTGAAATACTTAGTCATAGTTTCATGTGACATACCGAAGTCAACTTCTCCCTCCCATCCCTTCATTTAAGAGCTTGGGCTGAAACAATTAATTGTGATTAATCGATTACTGAAATAACCGTCAACTAATTTAGTAATCTATTAGTCATTTAATGGAGCATGAAGGCTCTAAAATGTGCCTTTAGGTGAGAGAGCAGTAAGTATTCCAAAATAAAAATTAAAAATAGAAATATTTAGCATTTAAGATAAAAATGCTTTTTGTCTGTTAATATTCTCTATCCAGAAGTATTCTTTAAGGAACCTTATATCCCCTTATTATCCTGTTATAAATAGATTAATTTAAAAAATAATCAAAAGATTATTCAACTAGCAAATAATGATTAGTTGCATTCCTAATGAGAACAGTAGGAAAACATCTGATTTTAGTAAGTAAAATGTCTGTTGATCGTCACAAGTCACGAAACTGCTCATCTAAACATTTACATTTTTGCTCTGAATTAAAGCAGTCATTAAATAGTGCAGATGTGCAAATATTGCACAAATATTATGTGCAAATATTATCTCTAAACCTAAAAAGTTGTGGTTTTTAGAGTCACCAGGTCTGACTGCTAACCAGATTTTGGAGCCTGCTGTCTCTGTCTCTCTACTCTTTATCATTTTTTGCAAGTCAATAGTCAGATTCTTTTAAAATAAAAAAAGATTCTCATCCTGTCTGAATCTTCTCAGAGGGACTAAGGTGTGCACAACTGGGGAGTAAACTTCTCTGCTGATTATTATTTTTAAAGTATCCAGAAGAGGTCACTGTAAATCAAAGTAGGACAATTTAGACCTTATGTGTGGAACATTTGAGATTAATCTAGAAAATATCTAAAAACAAACTGTCTCCCTGTAGTATATGCTCTTTGGAGTGGCCATAGTGGGAATACTAGAAGAACCTGCTCTGATGGCTTCATCTCTACACAGATTCACGGTTTGTTGTTCACTCTTTTGTTTTTTGTATTCTCCTGTTTCCCATTATATGCATCATATCATGTTTGTATAACTAGCAGCCATGCATGCATTAGTATATTCACTAGATCTAGAAATAAATCAGCAAAAGGTATAAAGACTGACAAAAAAATGGAGACACTTTTAATCATATTAATATTATATATTTTACAACAGCATAAAAGTAGTACAAACACAACAGACAGGTACATTTTCAGGCTTTCTTCTAGTCATCATCATGATTTTGCCATAAGTTCACTGATTATATATGAAACAGGGAAAAAAAAGGAGCAGACATTATTACTATATAGAAAATCCCCAATCCAAAGGCACTGCTGGATAGATTTGGTTGGTGCAATGGATGGAGGTAAAACCGATTAGGGGGAGGGTAGTAGCGTACATGTATTTCATAATCATAACTTATGCAGCTGGTTATCAGTCAGCACTGTGACCCTGCACACTGAGCCTTATAAGCCTCTTAAAGAAGGCAAAACCCTCCAACAAAGTATGATCCAGTAAATGTTAAGCTTGTATATGGATTTTTTAATCTTATGAAATCAAAATTAATGAAACTGTAAAAAGAAAAACAAAGCGGTTAATTGGAGACCCTCTAATCGAAGTTTCTAAAATTATTTTCCGTCAGGAAATGAGAGGTGCCACACAGGCCAAGCAAAAACCACCAGGATTCCCATTTAAAATATATTCTAATTAGAGACAAGATGTTCTAACAGCCTTGAAATAAAAACAAAACTTCTACATTTTACAACAGCAAAGAGTGCCTGAATTTTAGGCCTCCAGAGTTGGCATAACAGACTTTATTAGTTGGGTCTCAATATCTTCCATGTCTAGCCTAAACTCATTTAGCTTCACTCTTATTCAATCAGGATATCTATTTATGATTCAGCCCTGGGATTTGTAAAAGCATTATAGAATTACAAAAGGACATGAAAAAGTACAGTCACCATATAATGTAGCGATACAGATCATTTTCCCTCTGCTTCTGTTTGTCGCTGAAGCAATGAGGACACAAATACTTACTGCTTCTGTCGTTTCTGCATTTTCAGCTTTTATAATGTTAGAGTCTTGCAAAAGTCTTCATACCACCTTTTTTTTTTTACATTGTGGGAAAGATTTAGACAAAATACTGCATCTTTGTGAAGGGGAGAAATAGAGAGGATTGGTTATTTTTATTTATTTATTTATTTATTTTTACATTTTTCCCAGTTAAATACAAGACAAGTGTCAATTTAATCACATTTCTCTAATAAAGTTGACTTCTCAAGATAATTAGTTGGTAAACTAATACATGGAAGAAGGTTGTCTGGTCCCATAGGACCAATATTAAGCTCTCTGGATGATTCTAAATATAAGTCGATCCTGAAAGAAAACACCAAATATACACCTAAAGTACAAAGGAGTAGCTTTAATCAAAGTATTTTTACAGGTTATGTCCCATGTTCCAATCTATCTAAAGTTTCCATTGAAATCAAGGAACAAAAAGTGCTCAGGGGTAATTAATGCCTTTGCAAGGCACATACAAACATGGACAATGAAAACTTGCTTAAATGCCAACCAATTATAAGTTTCGTGCTAACACTGACTTCTCTTTCATTTTCAGAAACTCCAAACATGAAGTTGGTTGAAATTCCTCTTGCAGACTCTTCTTTCCTCTGTTTTAAGGTCACCCTTTTACTTTACACCATTGCATACTCAAACTGTCCTCTGTCCAGTGCCTTGTGATCTGTCCATGTTGATGAAGGCATGCTACTGTAAGGATCCAGCAAGATTCGGACACAGCGTACCACCAGGAAAAGCAGCAGCAGAACCAGGAGACCTACGAAGCAGAGTGCTGAGCCTTGTTCAGGGTGGCCTGGTGGGGGCTGCATTACCGTCGACCCTCTGGAGAACCCGGGCGGGGCAGGAGAGGAGAAATCATAGTCCACAACCCAATAGGGTATGTCGCTCATCCTGAGTGGGTGTTTAAAAAGTATCTTATTGTTTAACTTTATGTTTTACAGTCAGACACAGAGAGGACTAGCATTGCTGCATTTACTCATCTTTGTCCCTGAGTTTGATTTCTGACGTCACAGTGTTAAATCTGGCAGCAGGTGATTATACTGGAGTGTGGTGTTTCCCTTAAGCCAGAGGGCACGTACAAAAAGCAGGGCACGGATCACTGGTGCAGATTAATAAGCCCTCAGGTAAACTGAGAAGCAAGCCAAGGCACGCTCAGCGAGGTTTAATCATGTCTAATTGGCTGGTATCAGGTGATTCTTTATATCGCTTCCCCTGCAAATAATTACTCAGACAGGAGCTTAATATCAATACTTCAAATTACTGCTAGAAACATCTGTTGGAGAAAATCTCTAAAAACACATTTTGAGATTTCAGAATCACTCCTCAAATAAATCAGAGCTTTCAATGTCTATAGTTGTATTTAATTAGCGAAGTGTTTCATTTATTCTTCACTGAGTTGTTGAATTCCTGAAACGCTTTTTTTAAAATGAGTTTTTCATCCTGAGTGGGTAAGAACATCTCTGAGAAGTCACTAATTTGGAAACCTAAGAGAGACAAAGAGAAAAGAAATAGAAGAAGCATCAGTGATTGTGGAGCAAACACAGCTGCAGAACATAGATGTGGTGGTTCAGGGCCAGTAAATGGTTCCTGGACAAAAATCAGTTGTTCTAAAATCGATTCCATTATAAAACGGATTCCTTTTCTTCCAGAAAATATGTGACACAAACCATGTTGTCTGTCCTGATTACAGCATGGGATACTATAAGTAAACCCAGCTTTGATGATGGAGGAGATACGTTAAAGAAAAAAATCCTTGGGGAATTCTCTGTGGTCTCTTTAATGAGACCTGGAAGGAAAATACATTTCCTGTAGTAGACATTTTTACCAAGTCAGCATTTTCTATTCCAGGAGGCTTTGTCTCCCCTCTGACCACCCCCTTAGATCCTCCCAAAGGCACATTACAGCTCCCCTGCTCTCTGCAAGCCACAGAGGATCCAAGTGTACCTGTAATAGGGGTCTTGAACCCACAAAAAAAAGGTTTTTAACTCAGGATCAGTTAGCACATGCCTCCAAAAGAGCTAGAGTCTCTATATAGCAGAACTCCTGCAGAACACAATGCAGAAAGTATACACCAAAGTGTGGGGAATGCATAAGAATGAGGCTGCTATTGGGAAAGGTTCAACAACAAAGAGTCTGCACTGGCAGCACATTTCTCTCTAAGAGCTGCATAATCTTGCTTTTCTTAAGGATGTAAGAGTTTGGCTGATTTTCATCTCCTGCCAGAGAACTTGACAGAATTCATATTCTAACCAGCACACTGATGGGCAAAGGGCTTCTCAGATAATTCACAGGTTGCAAAACATATAATGCTGCTCTGCTTTGTCACATGACTGAAAGGTGATTGAGCTGCAGTTTGGAATTTAAGACTTCTTTTGGTAAACTTTACGGTTCTTCTTTGCGTGTTTGTTAATAATTTCATCATTTTAAAAACCAATTTGAAATTATGTCAAGCAATGCATTAAAGATAATTGACTTTCTGTGCAGCAAATACAGACAAAAAAGGTCATCAGTTTTTAGCAGGTCTTTCATCAACTTAATGAGCTGTTAAGAGTCAAAACAACAACAACAACATTTTTCACCCCCCCGAAAAAAAACATACAAAAAAAACAAAAACAATTATCTGCTTTTGTGAGTAAGATTATTATAGTTTAGAAATAAAAACTCTAAAATCCCTTAGAAAATAAATGCAGTAAACACCAACTAGCCAAGCCAATGTCTTCTGACACCAAAGCATGCTCAGTGACATATGGCCTTCCACAGCGAGTAATACCTGTCCCTGTTATCTTCTCCTGTGGATTATTTGACAGCAGCTTTAAAAATGTCAAGGTCTTTTTAAAGAGATATATATATTTTTAATTTAAATCTGAAGACAGATTCAACCCCCAATTCAAATAACATTTTTTCTGTCTTTTTACAGTAATATTGTAAAAATGTAAATGTTTAAGAGCAGAAGTGCTGAGGAATGATACACATTTTAGATGTGAAAATAATAAAATTAAAAGTTACTTTGCACTATAGGAAGCTCTGAAATATCCAAGCAGAATGCAGATTAGTCAATCTGTTTCTCTTCTTACAAGTTAACATAAAAGGGGATTACAGGTCAGGTTAGATGGGTAAAATTGCTCTGTCAACTGTTACTAAATCAATAACCATAAGAGGTTAAACAACAATTTAGATAACAGGGAAAAATGTTCACAGTTATCAGGAATGTTAACAGCACTTCACATTAAGAAAAGTCAGTCACCATCGAGGTGTGTCTCCAGGGTTTGAGCTTACCGTCGATTCTCCAGCAGCGGCTGATGTTTCAGCACCACGGACAGCTCTGGGAGTCCTCCTCTGCAGGTGGAGCCTCAGGTCTGAACTTCACGCGCCTCCTCTGCTCCCACAGGGGCTTTAATGTCCTCACCCTCGATAGGATCCTCCTCTCTACTCCTCCCTCCCAGTTTGTCACTGAACTGTGTTGTTCTTTGTGGAAGGACAGTTTGTGTTTTTTCCTGCTCTAAGATCCTTCTTCTTTAATTAGGTTTAATACCAGAATTCAGACTTTATGTCTGTTTTTATAATTTTACATGCCTGGCAAAACAATGATATTTAAAAGACATACTTAAAAACATAGTAATTGAAGAAGATTCCTGTGTTGATTTTAACATCATGAGTCATTGTGAGATTTTCTAGGTGGAAAAAAAATGTTCTAAATGTATTGAGGATGAGGTGATCAAATAGTAAATATGTAAGCTAAACTCAGCCACAAGTTTTTAATTTCTTTCATAAAAAAAACAAGGTAATTCTAGAAAACATACACATGCTTTACCATTTAGAGCTTAAGTCGTTTTTTGCTGATTTAACTAAAAAAGCTTAAAAAGGCAACATTACCAGTAATGAAACATGCAGATTCTGTGTGCTGTCTCTCTTTATAGTCCGTATAATTCATAAAGTTATTCCCACCTTCTAGCTTAGTATTTTTTTGAGCCAGGCATGAAGCAAGTCTGGCATTAGTCAACTTAGATTCAGTTCAATTGATCTATATAAAGTGCAAACTCAGAAAAATATAATTTTAAAGGCACAAGACAAAAACATATTTACCATACAAAATAAAAAAAATCTGATATAAAGACTATTCAGAAATATTAAGCTCCAAGTAAATAAATACTACATATCCCAATTTAGTCCTTGACATAATATAGTGTAGTCTGTATGCTTTTTGTAAAACCAAATCTTATACCCGATAAACCCAAAAAAATTAAATCACAGTAAAGTTATGACCTAAGCTGGGTGAAAATTATAAAAAGCGGGGGGAAAAGGGCTTAGAATGCTGCTTTTAAATTACTTGGGATATCTTTTACAGATGCAAAATATTATGCATTGATTTAAAACATTTAAATATGATTTTAAAAACTACAAAAAGTTTTTTTTTTTCCTTTTTTACAATATCATATATATCCTGAGGGGTGAAAGTGCTCTGAGGTTTTTGTCTACTTTTTCAGTTCCATCTTAAACTAAGTCAGATTTCAGATGAACGTTAATATCACATTGTATACGGTCAAAATGTTACAGTAGGTCAGGTTTTATAATATGGATTTATGTCAGTTATGTCACAAGTTTTGCTGAGCTGTGAGATATTATGTGATTAAGATGTGGAACAAAACAAGCTGAGCCACCAGACACTACCTGTGGCTTTACTCCAGATACTTACTGGGAGAGGTAATTAGTTGCCATAGCTCATATTCTACAAACACCCGGACAGACCGCCGTCCGTTCACATCCAGTGCTCCCCTGCCTGTGGCTGCATGGGATCTCCCTGTTGGTTTAATTAAAAGTGAGTGAATTGTTACACTGAACTGGTTCATCATCCAGTCCCACAGAGCTGTCCTCCTGCGGCCAACCGCTGCGGTCAGAGCTGATAAGTCTCAGACCCACAGTTATGAAATTTGTTTTCCTCATTATCAATGTCACAGTTATGCAATTTTTAGCTTGTTTCCAAAACAGACTGCTACTGCAGTGTATCCCTGTTCCACAACAGCTATGCTACATTTTCCATTCAAATGCGAAACCTATAATTCTAGTCTAAATAGTAAAAGCTTTTTGTGCAAAGACTTAAAAAAAAAAGAAGTAACAACTGATAGTCATGCGTTCAAGTTTATCAACAAGTGCCTAAGGCTGATAGTTCGGACTTTGCTGTAGATGCCTGATGAAATATGTTGTGGATGATATTTTTTTTTTTATCCACTATACATATGTATATTAAGGGCCTATTTCTTTTTTTTCTCTCAGAAACATGTAAATACTGTTTCACTATCAGATGCAAAAAGTAAAAAAAAAAAAAAAGAAACATCACTAGCTAAATTTTACATTTTGCATTGAAGATATGCAACCATTCCTATATAGCCTGGGTGCCAGTCAGAACTTAGTCCCGCCCACAAGGTTTGAGTTCGGGGAAGTTTGACTAGAATTGAGTCGGACTACGTCAGGCTAATTCCTATATGGAAACAAAGCAAAAGCAAAGCTTCAATAAATGTCAAAGTTATTGTTAAAGAAACCTAGTGTAGCACAGCAGTTAGAAGAAAAAGCAGAAATGATGTTCATAAAAAAACCATCAATAAGTGTGATCACTTCCATAAAAACTATATTACGGACATTTCAGAATAGTTTGGAGTCCATCATCCAAACAGGAATCAATATTAACATGTATGAGATGTCAACAATCACATCTACAACAGTATAAAAAAAGTTATCTAAAACTTAGTGAGATTCAATATGATGGTAAAGTTAAAGATTGCTTTGGGTTTTTTTAAACATTGGTAAAGGTGACAGAAGAGATTTTATAAAAATCCAACTTTTTTATCTATTTAACTAAATAAAATACAAAAAGGTTCCATGTTTCTAAAAATGTCAGTGTGGGATTATGCTGCCACAACAAAGGAATCATTTAAAGACTTTTTACAAATCTTTATCAGGCACACAGCACAAATAACTCATGTAGGCTAAAGCGCTACTTGATTATGCGTATGGTTGTGTTATTAAATAAACAGTAGGGTCAGGGCATGAATCCTTCCCCCAACACCCTCTCTGGTTCCTACTACTATATTTAAAGCCAGTGTGAAGTGTACACAGCCTTCTGTTGCAGTAAACTTGATTTGCACAAAAACAAGAGAAACAACCACTATTTAAACACACAGTGAAAAGCAGAAAATTGTTTATAGAGCTGCATTATCTCAGTACAATCTTTAGTTTCAGTTAGTTTCAGGAGCTGACTAGTATATTTAGTTAGCACAAGGACCTCACTAATCATTTATCACAAGACTGCTCCAAGATTAACTACCACATACATATTGACTCTGTGTGTGTGCATTATTTAAAGCCTAATCTATTAGTCCCACACACACTGATCAATGAGTATATCAGCCGGCATCGATAGCCGCGTCCCACAACATCCATCAACAGGACTGAAATGAGAAAACTAAAGACAGACATGGGATATCCAGAATATAATTTGTGCTCCTGAGAGCAGGAACACACAATGCATTTTGAGCTGCTGACTAGGAGGAAGCTTTGACAAAGCTAAATATATTAGTGCACTTTATTCAACATGCTGACTTATTGGTTAAAAATGTAAAAACTTATGAATATTTCTGACTAACTCAGCTATAAGTCAATTTCTGAGCTGATCACCTGGACAGAAAAACAAATTAACAACATATGTATTTTCATTTAAATCTTCCTCTATTGTCAAACATTTCTCTGTGATTTAAGCAAATCTAGCTGAAAAGACCGGAACCCAGAGGACCTACCATTATCCACAGACAGCTGTTAATCTGCTGTGTGGTTTGTTATCGTATAAAGACAAAAGGTAAAAATCTCCATCTGGAAAGATCGGGAGATTATTTAGAAAGTATTGGTTTAAGGGGGTAAAGCATCGACACACAAATTAGTTTGACGAGGGCAGGACAAAAAGTGTTTTATTCAAACAGGATTAGATATATACAGAGAGAATAAGTTACATGTACAAGTGAACATCTCAATCAGTTTTGGCTGTTTAGCATAAACTTTATTCATCCTGTTTAAAGAAGAAGAGGAGCTGAGCATGACCTGCAGAATATTCCAACATTCATGTAAGGAGTAGTAAGCATCATGCTATGGGATGCTGAGTATTTACCAATAAACTGTGCTGTGTTCATATCATGTCAAGTTTTTTTTTACCTGCCCTACATATAAAACACAACTGATTCATTCTTCACAACACATTTCCTCTGTTTACATCTTCACTATTAAACAATTAAAAGCCACATTCAGAAATGTAAACAGAGCTGTTCTGTAAGACAAACAGGTGAATGATCTGCAAAAAAAATGATCCTACAAACCTGAAGCTGAACCTGAAATGAATCCACTACTGCGTTTCCATAACGAAACAATGCAAATCTCATTTCCCTACAGGTCATAAGCTTATTGATCAACACATGGATTCAGAACCGAGACACTGCACTGCGACCTGACAAAACAATGGGTGTTATTCACCGTTATTCATCTAGTGCTAAATCAGTAAAGTTCTTATCCCAGAGCAGAAGAGGTTTTAAATAAATACATCGTTACCCGGAATGTTTTTATATCCAATTGGTCATCTTGCTTCATCCTTTTGTTTGTGAAGTAAAACAAACAGCTAAACTTAAAAAAACAAACAAAGGTAAGACATGGATTACAACGATATCTTTGGACGTTACAATCCCATTTCTCTTTGACTTTATTGGAATCATAAAATTTACAATGGAAAAAAACAAAATATTAAAATGAAAACATTTGAGGTCCATCAAAACATTAATATGGGAACAGTTGGTCTTCTGTTTAAATAGAAGAGATGTTTTTCTGTAATCTGTGTCAGGCAGAGATACACCAAGTCATCAGACCCTGATTGGAGATCTTAAGGTGAATCCAGAAAAAGCAGGTCAAAGCTTTACAAAAAAAAATAAAAAATGCATCTGTACACTTTGCTAGAAAATAAACTAGTTCTTCGAAGGAATAATCATGAGAAGAACATCTCCAAACTTACAGTATGTTCAAAAATCCCCATCTGCATTTATGCTGCAGCCATTAATTCAAAGCTGAGGATGTTAACCCCATGCCAACATGAGAAAGTAATAAAAAAAAAACATGTTCTGAAATGTTCAACAGATATACAAACATGTAGTTTCATCTTCTCCATCTGTGAGAGGATCTTTCTGAATGTTGCCATAAGGTCAGTATGGATGAAGTGCACCACAGAATGAAGGGTTCCAGGGTTTCTACTGACTTTATCCTTTCTAACAGGAAAGGTCAAGTGCTTTTTTCATAGCTCTGTCAATCCGAGCACGAAGAACGAAGAACAGCGAGATGACATCTCATGTTAGAATCCAGATTATAGCGAATATGTCCGAAGTATGAGGTATTTACACGTGCACAGGGGAAGGGTTTTACTCTGCTCCAGAGCTGCTTCCATCCCCATGTTTGTGACCTCGGCCCTCGTTCAGTCTGTACAGTGGAGGAGCCCGTTCACCAGCATCGCCTTTGACTCCTCTCAGAGGATTTGCTCTGTGCTGGAGGCGGAGATGTCCAGCAACCTCCATGCTGCGTTAGGGTTCAGCTCATCCTGGTCACGACACAGGGCCCAAACATACATCATCCTCATCACTTTCTCCTATAGAGGGCAGAAAAAAAAAAAAAATCAATGCCACAGAGAAATACAAACCTTTATATATATATATATATATATATATATATATATATATACTAGGGCTGGGCGATAATTCAATAATGATATATACCGATCGATAGACGTGTGGCGCAATAGAAATAAAGAGTGTCAATGACAGTTCGATAAAGAAACGCAGTTTTTCTTCCTTCTCATTGTAGCCTATAATGTAGGTTTATGCTAGTCACTACTTCCTCCCAACCAATCACAATCGTGGACCCAGGCACGCTGTCACAAAGCGCCGCCCTCTCAAACCACAACACAGAGCACATGAAGACGTCGCAGCAAGGAGAGGCGGAGGAAATTGTTCCAAAGAAGGGTTTTTGTAGTTCGCCAGTTTGGCAGTATTTCGGTCATGGCAAGTCGGACAAAAAACAAACCACAGTCATCTGGAAAATGTGTAGGGAACCAGTGAAAACGAAGTCTGATAACACAACCAACTTTTTTTTTTCTTTTTTTTTTTATCATCTCTGCCACTCACACCCGCAGGAGTACGAGCTGTGTAGGCCCCGGCGCGGTTCTCCTCCGAGGAATCTTCAGGAATTTCGGGAAAATATGTATATATATATATATTCAGTTCTGGGCAGTTTCCCACGCAGTTCTAACAATTGAGAGAAAAATGCTGAGGGGCCATCAACTTCAAAGTAATAACTCAGGTTAAAGCAGGAAACTAAGCTGAACCATAACAAGGTGCCAGCAGCACCTCTAGAAGAATAGGGGTGAGAAAAAATACCCCATAGAAATGCTAGGCTAAAGGGTGAGTTGATTTTTGTTTGGGTTTTTGTTCTTGTTGAGTGGAGTTTACATGGTAGCCTAGTCCTACAATCTTTTAATTACCACAAGCTGGTGGTGTACTATTCCCACCCAAATAAGGTATTCTATTTATTTATTTGTTATATTTATTTTGGTCACTTTTCTGGTCACTTTAGTTTATTCTTTGTCAGTATTTAATAACATAACTCAGGTCTCTTAAGTTATTTTTCTTTAAAACAATTGTTATGGTTAAAAAAGTTGGTTAAATAAATATTTTAATTAATTGATCAATATGCATTTTTTTTTATCGATAAGCTTTTTTTCTATATCACCCAGCCCTAATATATACACACACACTGTGATTTAAAGTCCGACTAACCGGATCTCCTTCCACGATATCTCCTTTCGGGCTTCGGATCACCATGACGACTTGAGCCTGAAAGGTAATGATCAGCACTGGGCCCTGGTCCATCAGTTTACCCATCGCTAACTAAACACACACAAACAAAAAAACAAACAAAAAGACGATCAGAGAAGGAAATACTGATGTAAACTCATTTAGCTTTAAATTATTAAAATACTAAATAACCACCTTTGCTTTTCCCATATTGCATTTTGTTCTCTAAAACTGTGCAATTGTGGTTACATCTGTGTGGATGATATTACCTCGTTAAACATGTGCATATCTGTGAATAGAAAATAACTACTGATTTTACTACAACATACATTGAGGAAAATTGGCATTTGAACACCCTGATATTTTGCAAGTTATCCCACTTAGTGATCATCAATGGGTCTGAAATAGTCATTGAAGGAACATGTCCACATTGGGAGAAATAATCTTAAAAAAAAAATCCAGAAATCACAAGGTATGACTTTTTTAAAAACTATTTATTTGTATGATACAGCTGCAAATAAGTATTTGAACACCTTTCTATCAGCTAGAATTCTGACCCTCAAAGACCTGTTAGTCTGCCTTCAAAATGTCCACCTCCACTCCATTTATTAACCTAAATTAGGTGCACCTGTTTGAGATCGTTAGCTGCTTAAAGACACCTGTCCACCCAATACAATCAGTAAAGGTTGAGGGAAGAGCTGTCCAAAGACACTAGAGACAAAATTGTACACCTCCACAAGGCTGGTAAGGGCTAAGGGGAAATTTCCAAGGAGCTTGCTGTTGGAGCAATCATTAGAAAATGTAAGAAGCTAACCATGACTGTCAATCTCCCTCGGAATGGGGCTCCACGCAAGATCTCACCATGTGGGGTCTCAATGAACCTAAGAAAGGGGAGAAATCAGCCCAGAACTACACGGGAGGAGGTGGTCAATGACCTGAAAAGAGCTGGGACCACCGTTTCCATGGTTACAGATGGTAATACACTAATGCAGTGGTTCCCAAAGTGTGGGGCGCGCCCCCTAGGGGGTGGCGCAGGGGGGGCGCGGGAAACGGTATGGATGAATGAAGAAAAAAAAAACAGCGCTTGCTTGACTGAGCATAATGGACAGTTGTGACACTGCAACCCAGATTTGAGAAGATCTGCAGCAAAAAGTAGGCTCACTACAGCCACTGAAAAGATGGGAGGATTAAAGTACAAAGAAAAAACTCTCAGGGAGCTGTTAAATGTTTTCACTCCATTTTGCACAGAGGCTTTTTTAATGTATAGATGATAGCAGAGTTAAATATTGTTACAAATAAAATAAAAAAAGAAATATGTTTAAAATAACACAGACGACAAAGAATCCTCTTCTAATCTACAGTATAGAACTATGAAAAAAATACAGTTACACAAAAGTGTTTCACTGTAAAGATGGTGTGTAGTTTGTTTTGTTGCAACCTGAAGTGTGAAATAAACTTCAGCGGAGTTTGAAAACAAAATATGTGTATAGATTCATTATATCTGGTTGAACACTGTGTGTGCCAGTTGATTTTTTTTTTTTTTTTTGGGGGGGGGGGGGTCGTGGAAATTTTATTGTAATCCAAAGGGGGGCCCAGAAGAAAATCTTTGGGAACCACTGCACTAATGCATGGCAGGGAAGATTTCCCTGCTTAAGCCAGCACATGCCAAGGCCCGTCTTAAGTTTGCTAGTGAACATTTGGATGATCCAGAGGAATCATCGAAAAAAGTCATGTGGTCAGAGAGACCAAAGTAGAACTTTTTGGTCATAATTCCACTAACCATGTTTGGAAGAAGAAGATGAGTACCATCCCAAGAACACCATCCCTACTGTGAAGCTTGGAGGTGTTAGCATCATGCTTTGGGGTGTTTTTCTGGACAAGGGACAGGGTGACTGCACTGTACTAAGGAGAGGATGACCAGGGCCATGTATTGCAAGATTTTGGGGAACAACCTCCTTCTCTCAGTTAGAGCATTGAAGATGGGTCGAGGCTGGATCTTCCAACATGACAATGACCCGAAACACACAACCAGGATAACCAAGGAGTGGCTCTGGAAGAAGCATATCAAGGTACTGGCATGGTCTAGCCTACAGGTGTGAAAGTGGTTCCAGAAAGGGCCGTGTGGCTGCAGGTTTTCTTTCCAACCAAGCATTAGCACACCAGACTCCATCCATCTCATCAAGTCATCCTGTGCAGACTGGACTCACTTGATGAGATGGATGGAGTCTGGTTTGCTAATGCTTGATTGGAAGGAAAACCTGCAGCTACACGGCCTTTTCTCGAGCCACTTTGACACTCCTGGTCTAGCCAGTCTCCAGACTTAAACCAAATAGAGAGTCTTTGGAGGTAACTCAAATTCTGTGTTTCTCAGCGACAGCCCAGAAACCTGACTGATCTAGAGATGATCTGTGTGCAGGAGTGGGCCAAAATCCCTCCTGCAGTGTGTGCAAACCTGGTGAAAAACTGGAAGAAATGTTTGACGTCTGTAATTGCAAAAAATGGCTATTGTGCCAAATATTTACAGTGATTTTCTCAGCTATTCAAAAACTTATTTGCAGCTGTATCATACAAATAAACAGTTAAAAAATCATACATTGTTATTTCTGGATTTTTTTTTTTTATATTATGTCTCACACAGTGGGCAACTACGACGACAATTTAAGACTCCTCTATGATTTCTAAGTGGGAGAACTTGCAAAATAGTAGGGTGTTCAAATACTTATTTTCCTCTCTATAACCAAAAGAAAAACCAAAAGAGCCTAAGAGCATAAACATCCTAAAACACTGTCCAGGACTTCATCAGTCTTTATTTCAGCAAAAATCTCCTAAGGTCCTGACAAAACATTTTAATCAGGTTGATATCTGAACTGTGAAATCAGATTTTCTTTTTCAGCTCTTCTGTTGTGAATTAGCTGCTCTCCTTTGGATGACCCAATTTCAGGTAAGCTGCTTCTGTTGGACAGAGGCCCAAATAATAAACACCAGTACTGCCATGCACTTTTAAAAACATGAGAATGTAGATAAAAAACTTGGTTCACACAAGAAAATAAACCCATGGGTTCATTACACAGAGAAATATACCTCAGGGCTAGACTTAATTTTAATGAATACGGCTAATAAACAAAAATGATACCAAGATTTAGTGCCTCTAAAAGTAGATTAGATGCTGTTCTCCTCTACTCTTCATCCACATTCTAATTTTTGGGGACTATAAATGTTAGAGTTTTCTACAGTAGCTCGTTTACATTTTCATGCGGGGAAATCTTAATTGCGTCTGTATGAGAGTGAGAACAAGCAGGATCAGAACTTACATCTATGTTATCGATGTCAAGAACTTTGGACTGAAAGAGAAGCCCGAGGGCTTTGGCCTGCTGGATGGGATGAGCCAGCTGACTGTATGTCTGAGAGGAAGACCACAGGAACACAGACAGAATGAAACAAAACTTCACACACGTTACATGAAGGCAGATCAACATTTCAGCTCACCTGCAGGCTTACTACTTCTAAAAAAAGACTGTGCATTTAAAAAGATATGCAACAAAAATACAATCCTGGTTCCCAATGTTACTTTGTTTACATTTTATTGTGGTTAAGCCAAAAAATTACTATGGTGACGTGTGGTTGGTTGATAACTCACAGCTTCATAGCACCAGTCCTTTAAAACCTCCAGCTCTCCACGGACCATAGCCTGCAGAGAGGACACAGACTGGCAATCAGTACTGAATATCATTTTAACTAAAGAAATACGGAAATAAACAAAAGCTACTGGATTTTTAAAGCTAATATAAATGTATTCAGTCAAGTTTTTCTATTTAGTTCTAATCCCAGCAGATCTGAGTGTTATGTGCAAACCTTTTTCTACTGAATCTCTTCTCCATAATTTCAGTCACTTCTTCCCTTGAAACAGACACAGGTCCCTAAAACGGTTCCTGAAAGTCTAATGTCAACAATCTAAACGGTTCCAATCTTAAGAGCACGGGCCAGCAACCTTTTTAAGGCTGAGAGCTACTTCATGGGTATTGAGTCATATAAGGGCTACCAATACTGACCTATGAACTGGAGGGATAAGCATTCACCTTAACATCATACAGGAAAAACACATTTTTATTGGGAGGGAGGGAAAGAAGAAAGAAAAGAAGAAAGGAGGGAGAAAGGATGTAAGGAGGGAGGGAGGAAGGATGAAAAGAATGGAGGGACAAAGGAAGGGATTGAAGGAGGGAGAAAGGGATCAGCGTTCATCTTAACTTCATACATAATAAACATATTTTTATTGGGAGGGAGGGAAGGAAAGAAGAAAGAAAGGAGGGAAGGAATAAAGAAAGGAGAGAGGGAGGATGGCAGGAGGGAGGGAAGGAGGGAGGAAGGGATGGAGGAAGGAGGAAGGAAGGGGGGATTTGAAGGAATTGTGAAAGGAAGGATGAAAGGAAGGAGGGAGGAAGGAGGGATGGATCAGCGTTCACCTCGTTTCTTTTAACTCCTAATTTTATGATATTGTCAGTTTGAAATCTACAACTGCTTAAATGCTCTGCAGGATTAAAATGATGAAATGCTCTATAAATTATTAAAAAAGAAAGGCAACAGAATAAAATAAAAATTTCAATCTTTGCCCACTGGTGAGTTGTTCTGTTTTTAGAAGATGCTGTTGGCACCCCATGTGGACCCTGAGGGCCCCTTGGTTCCTGCGGTCACCATGTTGGTGACCCCTGCTTTAGAGCAATCAACACTACTTTGATTGTAGTTTTAGATGTATTTGATAAATAAATGCAAATTATTAAAAAGCTTTTACTTGTTTATTGTTTGTAATCAACTGATTAAAGGCTTTTCAATTAGCTTAAATATTTTTACTCATTCAATTCACTGATCCTAATTCAATCCATGGGCCTTTAGATCCAAAATTGTGCTTTAATATTTCTGCTTTAAATCATCTCTATAGTTCTCATTTAAACTGTAGTGTCTGGTCAACTTTCTCATATTTATTCACCTTAGGTTAACACCTTTACCGCTACACAAGCCAGGCTGTAACAGGAAATAAAGGAATTAAATAAGAGGCGGAACGACAGAAGACAGAAGGGACTGAAGGAAGTATAAGGAAGGACTAACAGGTGCGAAACTGGAAGCTAAAAACAACCTAAGAGGCCATTTTGCTTTTAAAACTGTTATTACTGGAGCAAACCAGTTTTACAATAAGTTAAATAAACGAATAGTCCACAAATTCAAAGATTCCAATCACTCAAAAATAATGCAATCTCTTTAATTTCTCTTTGCAATGATTTTAAATGGAAACTTAGGATTTTGTTTTGTTGTGCTGCATTATCCCAATCCAAATCCTTATTTTGTTTAAATGGTTCCAGGTAATGTCAGTCTTGTGGTATTCCATGTTTTATGTTTCTTTTATCAGTTTCCTTCTCCACTCTGATCAAGATCTAAAAAAAAAAAAAAATACACCCAAACCGCATAGGATCCTCTAACTGCTCTGTGCCTCCTGACATCAGTGATTACTTTCTTTAGCACTTGCTTTAAGGTTGGTCTAAATTACGCAGCTGAAAACACATTTATAGAACAACATTAAAGCAAATGTGTCTAAATCACTGGTAAATTAAGTGATCTCCTCATTTACTAGCCTGTTTTCCCTGTGCTGTCCTTGCAGTAACGAGTGACAGGCATAATTCAATTTAATTCAGATTATCTATATAGCGCAAATTCACAACACATATCATCTCAAGGCACTCTACAGTTCACCAGACCATACAGTCAAATTGATTGAAAGTTTTCTATCTAAGGAAAACCAGTTGATTGCATAAACAAGCAAAAGGCAAAGCAAACAACAGGAAACACTTCTTATTACCTCCAGGATGTTCGGGATTATATCCTTCTCACACTGCTTGAGGAAAGTATCTTTGTCAAACTTAGGATCTATCTTCAGAATCTCTGTCAGCACTTCTGACATTTCTGTTTTAGAGAAAAGTCCACCTGAAAAAAATAACACCAAGCCAAGCCGATCAGTAGCACCAATAATTAGCCTGGAAGTTTAAATAATAGGTCTGAATATAAAAGCAATGATGAGAGTAAAGTACACGATATGATGATTAAGAATTACCTAAAAAGTCGGTAACTCTGTCAGTCATGGCTCTGGATGCTCTGATCAGAGCATTGTCGCTTTCATCATACTTCATCTTCATTTCAAAGAATCCTGTAGGCAGAGGGGGAAAAAAAGTATTGATTAACGGAGGGAAAATGTGTTTTTATTAGTAATAAATGAAGGCAGTACTTGTCTGCATTAAAAACGTCTAATAAACATCTTATATCTGCACTCTTTTAATTATTTTGCATTCAACTATGAAACTATCTGCTGCCCCCTACTGTCTTCAGTTTAGAAGACATATCCAGATATCAGATTAAGGAACAGACAGCATAGTATTTTCTTTCTAGAAGCCACTTACGGTTAAAGACCATGTTATTCTCCTTGAAGTCCTTCCACTGCTGGTACCACTTTGAATCCTTATGCAGAACCACACCAAGAGCATCTCTACATCACAAAACCAAACCAAATGACAGATTAAATATTTAGTGGCTAAGATGAGCTAGCAAAGAAACTTCTATGCATTTCATTGGTGGAACAACAAAAAGCAACACAGCAGGGAGGAGCAGAAGGAAATGATACAGCTTTTAATAAAAAATAAAAATTTTATATCAGATTATATCGACCAGCATCTAAAATAATAGATATTTCCAAGCTGACAGAAACACTCTGCTTCTGTTAAGTTTCTGTAACTTATTGTTATTTATTTTACATGGGCCAGTTATTTTTATACCCTTTGTTGTCGACTTTCGTTCCCTGTTCTATTAATATTTCTTTATCAAGCCTTTTCTGACATTCTACAGTATAAAATAAGTAATAAAAGCCAGTATGGCTTGTTCTAATATGGTATCAGGTCAATATCGGTATCATATCGGAAATGAAAAAGCTGGATCTGGCAATCGCCATTTAGATGCAAACAAAATATCCTTCACCCAGCTAGAGAGGCATGCTGTATATATACAGCATAAACACAATATATTAAATCATGTGACATTTTACATGAAGAAAAATAAATAAAAAATAATAATTTTAGTCTCATATAAGCAGCTATCTCTCTTTTTATTGCCAGGTTCCTTCTATGGGTTTTAAACATCGGCAAATTGGACATTTTCAATGGTTACTTTCAACAAAGACCAGATGTTGACACAGATAATGTTTGTAAAGTCAGCAGATTTGTCTTAACCATGTGGTTTCATCTGATTATTTTTAGTTTCGTGTTTAAATCTAAATCACTACAAATACATGATGCACTTTTAATATATATTTTTTTTTTTTGCAAAAACCTTTCATTCAACCCCATTAAGATACAGTTACATGGGTTAAAAAGATGAAACATAAAAATCATTAAGATGTCTGAACACTTTAGCAAGCCAACATGTGTTATGAAATGTACATCAATGTAGAGCAATGAGCACCGAGCATGCAACCCCTTCCAACAGATACTTACTCATTGGCCTCAAACACTCTGCTGTCAACATCTCCACCTCTCAATGAAAAATCACTTCTCATCCTCAGCTGAGCAGGAGCCCTGTAAGGACCGGCGTCTCCAACGTCTATCTCCTTCTTCATAGATTCCACACCCTGCAGAGGAGGCAGGAGCTTTTAAGCTTCAAATCACAATCTAACTATTTAGTTTTGAAAGTTTTCATCAGCATGACCAGGATCAGAGATAAAATCAGCGGTTCAGAAACCAACAAGAGCCGAGCTAAACTGCCTGGAGAATGTTTTAAAAAAAACAAGGAGAAATCCTCTTCCTAAATAAACAACTTTGGTGAGTAACTGCTGTGAATGAAAAAGTAACAGAATTAGCTCAAACTTCTAAAAAAAAAACAAAAATCATTGACTGGTTAAAAGGTGCAGTTTTCGATGCTGAATGCTTGAAGAGGATGATTTAAGAGAGGTCTTTTCTCCTGACCTGTGAGATGGCTCTGAATGCGCTGGTCCGTCCCAGTTTTTCTCCCCCCTTAGACACAGACTCTGCAGAATGCTTGGCTGTCCTGGCCGCCTCCTCCACACCTTCTTTAATCTTCTTCCCTATATCCGTTCGGGTCACCTCCCCAAGACTCTGGAGCAAAAAATGAGGCAGAAAAAACAAAAGTAAACTTACAAAACGACGATACATCAAATGGAGGGAAGCCTTCCAACACAGTGAAACAGAATTACAAGACTAGAATGAATCCAGTTTGGTTTCAGGTGAATTAGGAAATTAAAGTTTCTTTCTGTTCAGGTTTCTTCAACACCTCACCTCTTTGACGGTTTCTGACAGAGAGCCGAAGGTCTTTTTAAACACCTCAGATGTTTTCACCGTCTCGGCCTCTATAGTTTTCTAATAAAACAAAGAGCTTTGTCAGGAGTAGTACAGTAGACTGGCAGACCATAAGGTTAGTAGCATCCTTACATATTTCCTGCGGGCCTGCTGCAGGGCATCAGACTCTTCTAGCCTCTTGGCCTCTTCTCTAAACTTTTTGATGTTTTCTTTCATCTCCTGGTTCTTACTGAACTCCTGACGGAGATTGTCAACGAACTCACCCAAAAAACCCTTCCGTCCCGAAGAATACCGGACCTGAAAAGAGAAAGAGGAAAAACTGTTTTTTACAAGATTAATTAAATAAGTAAAAAATAAGAAAAACATACTTATGTGGATTAAAAAAAACAAAAAAACACCTATTTAAAAGCTTCTAAATCATGAAATCAGCGATGGCAGTAAAATAAAAATAACATAAACCTGAAATACTGAGCTAAAATGGTTAAAGGCACTTCTAGTAAAATGAACACCTAGTGTTTCAAATTGGAAAGACACAAAACAGATGTTGGCCACCCCATTCGGAGATGGCGGTGTAGGGTGCTAAGTCAAAGGAGAAAAGGGCACAGCCCAGCTAAATTCATGATAACTAGTGAAGACAGTTTAGCCTGGATAACATACAGGTGATTTCATGAAATTGCTCCATGAAATCTTAAGTTACATAGCCCATGTTCCTTTGCAGCAAAACCAACTGTAGTGCATGCAGCCTGCTAAGAAAACAGGCTACGCCTAGGAAGCTTTCCTTCCAGTTTTTCCTGCTGCAAACAATCACTACATTTAACCACTTTTCCAAGTCATACTTATAAATATTAGGGGTGTATATCATACCCATCATGGCGATTCGAGTCAGTATCAATTTCCTGACCCAACGATTCGATTATTTTCGATATTCAAGAATACACCAAAGATAAGATTCGATTAATTGGTTAATTGTTTGTTGTTGTTTTTTTACCTTGCAGGCTAGACAATGTTTCAAATTTGAAATAAATCAAAGAAAGCTGTAATATCTTTATGCATTTTATTTGAGAAACAACAGAAAATCACAGAAGTATCAAAGTTGTACTCCCCCTAGGCCTGGGAAAACCTCATTCACTGAAAATGCATGTATCGGATCGTCGGCTGTTGGAACAATGTATCAATACAAAACGGTTATTATTTACACCCCTAATAAATATCATAAATGACTATAAAACAAGAATGAAAGGTTAACAGGATTTATTCCAAGTTAAATCATAGAAAATTACAACCAATCCCTGAGCCCTGAAAAACACTTCCTATGCTTCTTATACCTCATGAGTGTGTTGCATCAGCTGGATGCTTAACAGTGCGTGTCAAATAAGGGTGCTCAAAGCCCAGGCTTTCTCCCTGCTGCGTTTTTACCTCAGGATTACAGACTTGTATTATTTCCATTCATGTTGCCTAACAGTGGTTCATATGAAGGTTAATGGACGATGCAACGGTGTACCTGCACAGCTGCAGCTGGGCTCCTGTGTAACCTGTAGGCATCTCCTCTCCATGCAGCAGAAACTACAGAACGGGTGCAGAGAGCCAAGGCCTTCCGGCCCATCAGCTGCAGTAAAAAAACAACAACAAAGTCAGTTAGACCTGTCATTTATGGGAACAACAAACACACCTTCAGAGATTTCCTTTATAAGGAGCTATCATGTCATTTATAATACTAGAAAGATTTTTTTTTTCAAAATATTGTTTACATCACATGCTTTCTTTCCATTTATGTTGTCTTTGCATATCATTTAGCGTCATGCTATTTAAATAGGCTTCTGCAGCAGAAAAGGGAAGGTGCTTAGAGATGATAGGAATATTTATTGAGCTAATTACAGGACAAAGCTTGAAAGCAATGCTGAAATTCTAGCAGAGATCTGGGACTTCTCACACTGAGGGTCATTACATTCAAGGCCAGAACCTCAGAAGACCCACAATGAGTGAGCAATGAGTGATACAAGACATATCCAACCAAACATGGCAGTCAAGCCGCATTCTACAACTGGAATATAGTGAACTATCAAACTACAATGATTATGACTGGATTTCATTAAATTCAACTGTAAATAAAACTTGATCTTTGGAGATGCCACTCATCCAGTCTAACTTTACTGTGGCAACATACCGAGAAAAATCACCATAAGTTTCTTGGTATATAAATTATCTAGAATTATGAATAAAACTAAAAAAGGCCTGCTGTTGGGCTTCTAGTGTTACATAATACTGTAAATCTAGGACTGCAACTAATGATTATTTTGCTAATTAATTAATCTTTTTTTTTATTAATAATTGGATATAAAAGGATTTCTTAAAAAATACTTTTTACGAAATAAAACTAAAACACTTTCACTTGAGGAGTTCTAGATAGAGCATATTGATTGATTAGATTTTTTTTTTTTTTTTATCTTAAATGTAAAATGTTGATATATTTTCCTCAATCTTGATATAATTACAGCTCTAAGTGGGTCGCTCCTTCAGCTAAAGGACATTTTTAGAGTCTCTAAACTTCATTTGGCAATAAATCAATTAATAACTAGTTGACAATTATTTCAATAATTAATTAATCACGATTAATCTGATTATTTCAGCCTTAATTCAATCAATGGGGGGTTTTTTTGTGTTTGTGTGTGGAAAAATAGAACATGTTAAAACATGCTTGTCCCTGATTTTCTGTGGTTCATCTGTCACAAAAAGTCTCCCTAGAAAAACGACAATTAAACATAAAAGGTTTCAATAAAAAAAAAAACTAACATACAAAAAAGCCCAGGGCATTTAGAAAAGACTAAAACTATGTCAAACCTAATCTAATTATGTTATAACAATGTCAATAGTGGTCTAATTGGACCGCCATTCCTGCTTTATTGCAGCATGTCTAGAAATTATGACTATATTGTCCAACAGTGGAGAAATCCGGCTGTGACAAACAAAAAACAGGTAAATTAAACACATTATGTGAAAATTTCACAGCATGTTCCATTGGTCTAAAACTGTCTTCCTTTATAATCCTTCATTTACGGTAAAACACTATCACTAAGAACTATTAAACCCTGCTTCATTTCAGTAAAGAGTCAACATCTGCGGTGATTCTGATGCGACAACAAGGCCTTTTAACCATAATTACGGACACTTACTAAAACTTAATAAACCCTTTTTCTCATAAATATAGGTGACAAAAGTAACACAGAGTCAAGGAATCTTTCCGTCAAAGAAAACTGTGCGTTCAGACATAAGAGCTGCAATGAAGGGCATGAATGGGTTCTAACCTCGTAACACCGATACACGGACGCTGCCATCTTGACGTTCCACCAGAGAAGCACGTGCATTCTGGTGCGTCGCTACTGCCTGAACTGACGTTCCGACTGACCAATAGGAATATGGGAATAGACAGGGGGCGGGGCCAAGCACAGATCCTTTCATTGGTTTATTAATGACTTTAAAACCTATTTTTCTTCTCTTAAAAAGATAAAAAATGAAAAATATGCCCAAAAATTGAGCCTTGATTTCTCCAAACATCTGCTATTTTAAGTGCATTCACCGTTTTGTTTTTATTATTTCTATGTTTGATTTAAATGTTTGCTAAGATGAATTCCCCTCTTAGTTGTCTTACTTTTTTGTTTTTTGTTTTTCTTTTATTGTAATTGATCTTCATCTGTTCATGTACACATTTGCTATCCTCTCTGAGAGTATTTTTTTCATGTAAATGTTAATGACTTATTAAAAAAAAATGAATGGCTTTCTGCTTTTATACCTGAAATTGAAAAACATTAAAATTTAAAGATTTGGTTGACTTTAAGACCGCTCATTTTACGTACAAAGTAAATAATAATTTGTTGCCAGTACATATTCAGGGTCTGTTTTTGATCAAGGACACTGCTTATGATCTCAGAGGGTATAAAATGTTCAGAAAACCAAAAGCAAGAACAAATGTTAAACAACATTTTATTTCTTTTGTTGGGGTTGATGTATGGTACAAATTAGATCGGGAGCTAAGTGATTGTACAACAATAACAAGGTTTAAAAACATATTTAAGAATAATATGATAAACAATTATGAAACATGTGAATGCAATTAGGAACAGTAAGATATTTGGTGCGTTACCTTTTTTTCTTTCTTTCTTTTTCCTAAAAAAAATGTTATTATTTTAGAAGAATATTTTTTCCTAAAATCATACATTGGTATGTATTATTTATCATCATTTATTAGCCATCTTTTTATCTTTTTTTTCTTTTGCTTTGCAATCCAATGTAAATTGGCTTTGGAGGGTGGGCATTATAAGCTTCTTGCTTCTGCCAGTACACCCTTTTCAGACTGTTTAAATTTATGTTATATGGACATATACTGTCTTTATTATATATATGTATGTCTGAAATAAATAAATAAAATAAAATACCCATGATTAAACCAAACATTCCCACATTATTTAGGTAAATTATGTGTAAAACAATTGTAGTTCATGATAATCTGGCATCTTTATTGTATTACTGAAGTGTTTATTACAATACATATGCCAGTAAATATGTTTACAAATATGCCAATAATTATGTTTAATAAAATAAATATGTAAAAAAAAAAAAAAATGTGGACGCACTGTATATAATGTATATATCCCATGCACATTTTTCTTCCTTTAACACTTTCTTCTTCTCCTTTGACTATTTGAGATGATTTAACGAGTAAATTTCTCCACTTTGAGATCAATAAAGTCAATCAATCAAACAATTTGATTAATACATACAATGTTTTCCTAAGCTTAAAAGTAATCTGTAGTTGGTATTTTATCTCAACTGCTCCCGTTCCATGTATCAGATCTCCAAATGACCTTTTTTTTTTTATTCAACTGAACTTTCTGATGAAAGTTGGTGGGGTCACTCTTAGGGTGGCGTCTGATGGACCTACAGTTACTCCACACAAACGCTTTCAAAAAGGTTTGTATTTCCCAAAAATGAGCTCAAACATATATGTATTGAATTAATTGCTTTTCTATTGTTGAGAACATCAAAGACCCAAAATACACTGACATTTATACTTATAGATAGACATTAATGTGTATATAAAAAAAGGGATGAATAACAGCCGATTCCGATGCAAACAGAATAGAATAGAATTTAACTTTATTGTCATTGCACTGTCACAAGTACAAAGCAACGAAATGTGGTTTGCATCTATCCAGAAGTGCTATACAGGATATACATATTATTGCACGTGTATGTACAAGCAAAAAGTAATAGTTAGGGACTGTAAAAAGTTGTGTATAAATATGAATATGGGAGCTTCATGCACAGATTATACAGATTGTACAGAATATACAGGAATGTTAGTAAAAGGATTATATATGTATTTGGGGGTTTATAATACAATATAAATAATGGCAGATAAGATTTACAGATTGTGTACAGATTGTGTATGTGTGTGAGGGGAACAGTCCATATGTTATTATTGTTATTGTATGAGGGGATACACATGCAATATATTATGCCTCCTTAGTATGTACACATATTAGTTTCATTCACCCTCCCATCAATCTATTCAGAAAAATGTAGATTGATTGATGGATATTTTTCCTTTCAGCTACATTGGTGATTATCCTCCTTCAAAAGCAGGAAAATCAAATTTAGAAAATGTTCCCACATATTGCCAAAGTCTATGAATTTAAATTATTGGTGGGGACATGTCCACACCAGTCCTTGAGAAAGTTACGCCTGTTAACTGACTTTATTTTGTCCCTATAATAAATGCTATGCTTAGATGGAGGATGAAGCAGATGAGTTGACAGGTATCTGGTGGCATGCCGGCGTGGAGCGCCTCCCAGTGGAAGGTATTTGAACTGCAGGACGTCTCCCCTCCCTCTGCAGAGAAGGGAGCTCTCCTCTTTTCTGCGACCAGCTCTTGCCTTGACAGCCGACACTGGCGCAGAGTCTGAGCGCAAATCTTTCCCTTATTTTTCTGGCACAAAGCGACCATCCACACTCACAGCCTCCGCTCATCCTCTTCCGGAGAAAAGCGCTGGAGCGGCCTCGTCTAGAATGGGGAACCGAGACGACGAATACGATTTCTTGTTCAAAGGTAAAAATCATAAATAAATAAATAAATAAAGGGCATAAGAATATGTTTACATCCCCTCTCAAAGCAACGTTTTAAGAATGATTGTGCATTTTGTCTTTGTTATTGCTGAGCATGATCATCTGTTGCAGGAATTTCAACACAATCCCGTTACATTACACATATATTTATATATTGGGTAATTAATACGCAACATGCTCTGCTTTTAAAATAAACTTTTATATCAGGACAGTTTTCTTATTTATTTAGAAACACTGGATTATTTACCATTATTTATTGTATTCAGGCCTTTTGGCCTTTACCTGCTGATCAATAACATTCATTCATTGCTACATTAGGAGGACTCACTGCAGCTGCTGCGGTGGAAAAACTTCCCTTTATTTCATGTCTGTCATTCTGACGTTAGGCCTGAAAGGGTGTCGCCGAGTCTGAAGCGGTACCAGCAGGGGCGGAGCTAGAGGGGGGGCCAGTGGTGGCCATGGCCACAACTGTGGCCACCCCTAACATTCTTCCCCCTCTAATACAGATGGTGGCAGCAGTAATACTCTCAAGTGGAATATTCATTTTAATTTTTCATGTATTACTTAATATTTTTTCATGTATTCATAATTTCTTGACAACAAAAACAGTGTGGATAATTATACACATGAATATAGTAACATTAAAGATGATAAGTACAGAATTCATGCTCTTTTCAGAGCTAGATTTTGGGGTAAAGAGAAAATGAAGTGTCTCTGCGAGTCATCTAGGAGTCTTCGGTGAAATCATAGATAACTATTTTAATAAAAACGTATTAAATAATCAATTTATGTTGATATTATTACTTGTAAATATCAGTTTTATGCAGAATGATTATTGATACAGGTAGGTAAATAATGACAAAGGAAAAGATGTTCGCCCCAGAACTCAAACCTGGAATAATTGTATCCACGATACCTTTTATCTTAAAAGCACAGATGTTTAAATATATTGTTAGCAAAAGTTGTAGGAAAGTATAGTTTGTCTTATCTTTGGCCTGACTCTGAGGTTCTGGCGTCTATCCACTTTCGGACACCCCTCAGTTTACATTGGTTATTGCCTGGCCACCCTTATAAAAATGTTTTGGCTACGCCTCTGTACCAGACCCAAGTCCACTGCGCTTGGGGTCCAGAATGGCCTCTTTGATCCTAAAATCAGCTCCTGTGGCACATTAACATCCCGGGCTTGTATAAGCCAGATAGACCGTTTAGATATAACAAAGTATCCTCTGTGGGATGAATAGAGCATCTGCCGGAGGCGAGGAGTCTCTCCCTCCCTCCCTCCTTGTGTTTTCTCCCCCTTGCCGAGCCTTATACCCGTCCGAAACAGGAAGGGCAAGGCGGCCAGAGACTGTGGATTCAGGGGTTGATGAAGCATGTTATCAGCTTCCTGCAGCCCTGAACTGGCCGATGCAGACGGGGACAACAAAGTTGGGCTACGTTTCCTTTTGTTGAGGAAGTAGGGAGAACAAAAAAGGCTCCACCTCTCCTGCTGCTGAGTGAACCATCAGCTTGATCTGTCACACTCAGACTGTATAAGCTTTCACTGCGTGAACAACCCTCCCTCTTTATGAGTTCCAGCATTTCCCTGCAAAGTTAACTGGATTCCTTGCCTTTGTTCCACCTCACATTCAGAGGCGTAGCTAGAAAATTTTAATAAGGGTGGCCACCCCTCACTTAACACTGAGGGTTTGCCGAAAGCAGATAGGTGCCAGAACCTCAGGGTTCCAACAAGAACAAGAACAACATCCATATTTTCTAAATAAAGACAAACTATACTTTCCCACAGCCTTTGATAACAAATAGACACATATATTTAAACATCTGTGCTGAATAATTAAAGGTGTAGAACAGGGGTTTTCAATGTTTTCCAGGCCAAGGACCCCCAAACTGATGGAGAGATGGAGCGGGGACCCGCTAATGATATATATTGTGTGAAATTTGTTAAATCAAGCTGGTCTATAGTCACTTTATTACAGATGGAGTCATGTAGCAAAGTAATTTCTCCCTGGGATTATTAAAGTATTTCTGATTCGGATTCCTAATGTGGATTTAAAGACATTTCAATTAGTGGGAAAATGCAAAAAAAAGTCTAATAACTTTAACTACCCCCATGCAGTACCTCTGTGGACCCCTTAGGGGTCACAGACCCTCTGTTGAAGACCTCCAAGGTAGAGGACAAAATTTCTGGGGCGAACATCTTCTCTATTACTCGATTACATCATTACTAACCTACTTTTACCTACAATTCTTCTGCATAAAATTTATAT